CCCTCTATCTCCACCACTGGAATTACTATGCGATGATTTTTGGTGTCTTTCGCTGTAACATGACGATTTTCTTTGTCAACGGTTAGTTGTTGTTTATCTAAACTTTATCGGTTATTTTTGCCTAGGGAATGCCCTTTTGCGCATTTCCTCGTGGGACATCTAGCATGCATATTTTATATACACACCTAAAATCCATATTGTCACTTTTGTCACATTCCACATTATTTTCACAATCCACGTTTCCGGAAGTAGTATTGTTTCTAAAATGGAAGAAATAATTATTATGAATGAAAAATAACGCGATTTTTCTATGCATGTAAAGTAAATAATTACCGTTACAGTATCTACCTATTTCTTTTGATAAACAAATAATAAAAACTGCATACGTACTGTTTTTCGTGTCTCTTGATCCAACTTAATTTAATGGATTTGGCACGATTAGTCCTTTTCTTTCTTTTTCCAACAATTTTCGGCATTTTACGCGTATTATAATAAATCACTACACTATACTATACTGAGCGAAAACGGCAAGAAACTAAATGAATAAAAATAATTAAATGACGATATAAAATATAAGAAGAGCGGCAGTTGAATATTGAATATGAGCGAAAATGGCAAGAAACTAAATGAGAATAAAAATAAATGTAAAATATAAGATAAAAAGTAAAAAGCGGCGGCGGAACACCTGTATTTCATAGTTTTTTGTTTCCAAGTGACCAAATTAGTTGCACCATCGATTTCCTCAGTTCAATGTAATTATTTTGCTGGACTACTATTGCAGCCGGCAGCCGGCCAATTTTTTAGTTCAGAAATTCACTGCCCTCTACGAAACTTTATTAGATATACTTCCACATTTCTCGTGAGGGCGACATCTATTAATGAGAAGTTGTATTATGCTAGTTCTTTATGAAATATTTATCGGTACAAATCCTAATGAGAAAATTAAGAAAAGGTCAATGTGTCTCCATCTATGAAGTGTTACGACTTTTGATCATTTCATGCTCCTTTTAATACTAGACTCAACTAATTGATTTCCAATTTTTAGGATTAGCCTACATTATTGAATTACTGAACCAAGAAAGTCAGCTCAATTCATTACATTGGTTTCAATCAGTGCAAAGAAAATTTAAAAATGAGAGATTGAAAATCAAAGAACAAAGTAACATTTTAACAAACAGTGATGATACTAAGTTGAGACAAACTTTGACATTAACGGAAAAGAGAATATCTTTATTTGAGAAGGTAAGTTTCTTTTATCAGTGTATGGTACTTCAGAACCACTCGCAATGCTTTGTGTATACCAAATTTCATTATAAAAAAAAGTTAAATAGTATTTATTTTGCGAGTTAAAAATTTTAAGTAAATTTATGTTTAAGTAAAATTTTACTGTATTGCTGCTGTTAGTATTAAGTCTAACGCTGCTCTCTTCTATATCTTTCTGATAGATTTTAGTTGCCTATGGAGAATTTGTTTTATTATCTAAGTTTTTAGCTCATTATTTGGTGGCTTAGAGCAGGAGTGCTCAACTTTAGGTAACTAAAATTACTGCTACAAAAAAAATAAATGTTATGAAGATTAATTTGGTAACAACCAGGATAAACACTTTTTTTTGTAATAGAGGGAAATGTGTGCAATGTAATTTATACAGGGTGATTCATTAACAATGGGAAAATCGAAAGCTGTAGATACTACACGTGAAATAGTGACCATTGGCGCAAACATGCTTTATCCGAAAGTTGATATTTTCCAAACTACAGGGTGTTGAAAGTTAAAATTTTAAATAGTTTTTTGTGATTATTCTGAAAATATGTAGGTTAGGAACTTGACAATTTGTGAAACTATATCTTTTAAGCGACGAATAAGATGCATGTTGCCATTTCAGCTTTGCTCATAGAGGGCGCCACTCATGACCAATTTTACTAAAAATTTGGTTAATATCTATTTACCCTGTATTTCTAACATGAAACTCTATTCAAAACCTGAAATAGCAATCATTTTTCCATTAATTATGTATACTTGTTTAATTTCAAGAAAAATCGATTTAACGAACACTATCTTTTGATATTACGATAAATTAAAACAAACCAAGTGTTTTTTTATTCTTCTTTCATTCGAGACCAAATAGAAAAATCAAGAGGATTGAAGTACGGACTTCTGTTTGGCCAAGCAAAAATGCTTCCACGGCTTGAAGAAGTTATTTAAGAAGAGATGTGGTTCATGCACGACGGAGCTCCACCGCATTTTTCTAGGCCAGTGCGTGCATATTTAGATGCAGTTCTTCCAAATCGCTGGATTGGCCATGTAAGCATTTTTGCTTGGTCACCCAGAAGTCCGGACTTCAATTCTCTTGATTTTTCTATTTGGTCTCGAATGAAACATATAGTTTACAAAGTTTATTGGCTCGCGTGAAGAGTTGTGGTAGATAATACAAATCGCTATCAACGAAGTCAGACGCAATCCGAATATGTTGTTTCAAACTCGAAGATCTCTCAGAAAACGTGTAAAGTGTATCAGCGTCAACGATGGTCGAACAATTACTTATTTGTTTTATTGTTAATCGTTGTAATAACACGAAGAAACACTTGGTTTGTTTCGCTTTTAGTTTCTCGTATTATCAAAACATAGTGTTCGTTAAATCGACTTTTCTCGAAAACGGATTGAGATGCCGAAATGAAACAAGAATATATAATTAATGGAAAAATGATTGCTCTTTCAGGTTTTGAATCAAGTTTCATGTTAGACAAACAGGGTAAAAAGTTGTTAACTAAATTTTCGGTAAAATTGGTTGTAAGTGGCGCCCTTCTTATCTTATTTGTCGCTTAAAAAATTCACAAATTTCCAAGTTCCCAACCTACATATTTTCAGAATAATTACAAAAAAACGATTTAAAATTTAGCTTTCAACACCCTGTATTTCCGAAACTATCAACTTTCGGATAAGGCATGTTTGCACCGATGGTCACCATTTCACGTGTAGTATCTTCAAGTTTCGATTTTCCCATTGTTAATGAATCACCCTGTATAATCAATGCATTGTTTTGTGAATATCGTCTTCATTTGTAGTTATAATCAAGAGATCGCCACTAGCCTAACAAAATATTTTACTTGATATAGATAGCTAATTGGAAAATTGTATTCTTTTTTTCTTTGCAGGAATTCCAGCTTCTGTATTACAGCTTCAGTAGCGCAAGATTATTCTTTCAAGTTTAAGATAATTTTGTCCATATAAATACATTATTTAAGGTTACCAGTTTATATGTTATTATTTTATATAAAGTGATATTTTGTATAGGTAAACATATTTTAAGAAAATTAAATTATACAATAAATTATATGATTTCTGCCCATTAAATACAATATGTATTATGTACGGGGTGGTTCAAATTGGTTGGTTTTCAAGGGTTATTGCGAATCTGTCATAGATAGAGCAAATCTGTTACACAACTCCAGAACTCTGTTTTTAAGAAAATAACAATGGCACAAACGGCATCTCTACCTGTTACCGTTTTCGACCTACAGGGCGTTTCTCAATTTTTGGCTAAGCCGACTGTTGCCCTTTTCTCGTTCCTTTTCCAATATATCTTAAAATGTTTGAACATTCTGCAGGCACTTTTTTGAGATACATTATTCGATGACATAAAAATAAATCTGATAATATTTTTAGTTTTTGTCATATGACTACAACTTCTGTTTCTTTATAGGGAACAACCATTATTTTATTTCAATATTAGAAAGAGGGCTAAAAATGCATTTAAAAGATTTGCAGAAAATATCAAATTTTCAAAATACCAACGATATTTAAGTTTTCTGACTAAGATGGCTTTGAAAACAAAGTTTGACGTTCAACATTATTAGAAGCATGTTAACACAAACCAAAAATGATTCTTTACTCAAATGAAGACAAAAAACACAAATTAAAATTGAACTTGAATACTTATGGATCTTACACTAAACTAAGGAACAAAATTTACAACAGAGCTAACCGAGAAGAACAGGAAAATAATGTTCTACAGTGCGTTTGACAAAATCCTAATACATCATCTAGACTTCTAGACAATAGAAGTAGGTATTAAACAGAATACTACATACATTTTCATTTCTTCGATTAAAATATTTTATTAAATTGTATTTGTCTTTATTTGAGTAAAGAACCATTCTTGGTTTGTGTTAACACAGTCTGTCTGAAAACTTAAATATTGGTATTTTGAAAATTTTATATTTGCCGCAAATCTACACAAAAAATAATAAGTATATATTTTTGGAATGCATTTTTAGCACTCTTTCCGATATTGAAATAAAATATAGGGTGTCTCCCATATAAAAAAAGTTGTGGTGATATCAAAAAACTAAAAATATCGTTTATTTTTATGATTTTATGTCATCGAATGTATCTCATAAAAGTGCCTGTAGAATGTTCAAACCGTTTTAAGATATCTTGAAAGGGAAATGAGAAAAGGATACCAGTCGATTTAGCCAAAAATCAAGAAAAAATTTAAACCACCCGGTACATGGTCATTCACATAACGTTCTATCCCGTTATCTTTTTTATTTTCATATCTAGAAAAGAATGGTATGAACGAAAGTTGTAGGAAATTTTCTTATAATTTAAAAACTGTACTTGGAAAAACAATAACTGATTGTTGCATTTCGGAGAAACAAACCAAATATTTTTTTGACAACACTGTATATTTTAGCAGCACTAATGAACAGACCTCATGGAACAAGTAGAGATTTTACCTGTAGAAATACAGGGTGTACCTTAAGTGATGACTTTAATTTCAAGGGGTGATTCCTTATATTTTAAGCAAAAAAGTGCATATGAACATCGGACCGCAAGTGCTTCGTTACCGAGATACAGGGTGTCAAAGTTGGCACACGTTCCAAAATTCCTGGAGTGTTGCGTATGACATTACAAGAATTTACAATTCTGTTTCTTAAGTGATTTTCATCTACAACTGGCGTTGCATAAACAAGCGACTTCAGATGTCCCCAAAAGAAATAGTCCAGAGGATTTAGGTCTGGAGATCGTGCTGGCCACGGCTGAGGTCCTCCCCGACCTATCCATCGATGAGCAAAAGTGTCATTAAGATGTTGGCGAGCAGCAAGACTGAAATGAGCAGGTGCCCCGTCGTGCATAAACCACATGTCATTTCTGGTTGCTAGTAGTACATCTTCTAACAGACCAGGCAATGTTTCAGCTAGAAACTGTCTGTAAGTCTCACCATTCAGTCGAGGAGGAAGAAAATGCGGTCCGATGACATGATCACCAATAACTCCGGCCCACACATTCACCGAAAACTGCTGCTGAAATCCACGTTCTCCAATAACATGGGGATTTTCATAGTTCCAAAAATGATTATTGTGGAAGTTTATGATGGCATCCCGTGAAAAAGTTGCCTCATCTGTGAACAGAATTTTAGACGTAAAGTTGGGATTCTGCGCAGTTTTTTGGAGAAACCATCGACAATAATCTAACCGTGCAGGAAAATCTCTTGGCAACAGTGGTTGCACGCGTTGAATGTGGTACGGATAAAGTAATTTTGTGTGCAAAACCCTCCAAACACTTTGATGACTTATGTTAAACTGTTCAGATAGTCTTCGGGTACTACTTGACGGATTAGCTTCCACTTCTTGTAGGACTGCTTCTTCTAGTTGTGGTGTCATTATTGTTCTCGGTCTACCAATACGTTCAGCGTGAGCATTTAAAGATCCAGTTTCGCACAGTCTAGCATGGAGCCTTATGAAAGTTCTTTCTGATGGAAGTAGTGTATTGGGAAATCGTTTCTAGTAAATTCGACGGGCTTGTGCAACATTTCCATCTGCTAGCCCATAAATGAAATGTATTTGAGCTTGTTCAACGTTATTCATAGTTAACTGCACACTAAAAGATAGTCAACTGACAGTATCTTGTCACTTTTAATGCCAAATATCATCGGAATTTTGTTATCACAGGAATTTTTGTATTTCAACAAAAAAACATTTCTTTAAAATCTTTTTTAAGCAGATAAGGTAGGAGAATCGACTATTCTAGTCCAAAATGGCATACAGGGTAGCAGAAAAAAGTTGCGATGGATTAAAGAGGCCGAAATCGTTGCCGGTGGCGCCCTCAAAAAAATACACCTAAATTGACCACAGCTTTGAATTTGTCATTCCAAAAAACCCCCGTGTATGAAATATCATTAAATTATTTCGAATCAGTCGAAAGATATTTAAGAAAATGCGATTTATTTTCCCAACTTTGACACCCTGTATCTCGGTAACGAAGCACTTGCGGACCGATGTTCATATGCACTTTTTTGCTTAAAATATGACAAGGAATTACCCCTTGAAATTAAAGTCATCACTTAAGATATACCCTGTATAATTCAAAATTTTCTGGAACAGTTTACAACAAATTGTTGTAGATAAATACGTCGTAGAACTTACAATGGGAACGTCCCACTACAAAAAAAAATGAATTTCTTTAATAGTTACAATTTTACAGGATTTCTCACGGTGACGGCCCATTAGAATAATTTCAGAGACTACTTTCCATTTGAATTTTGAAAATTTGGGATACCGGGGTTTCGGGCATGCCCTTCTCAACTAAAATAATGGCGGTCCCGTACCACTTCTGGTTATACGGGAAGTCGCCATCAACTTGCTTATTTTAAATGAAACACCCTATATATTATTGCAATTTTGGATTATACGTATTATTTTAGGTGGACTTTTATGAAGTTCCCCTATTCCTAAAATTAACTGGTTTAAAAAAAATGGGGAGAAACGGTGACTAGCTTCAAACCATGTGTATTTTATAGTAAGAAAGATAAAGTAACAATATTTATAGGGGGATAGCTAGACCCCTAAGCTTCCCATCCATACTTTCAAAGTGGCTTAAGTGTGCTAGAAATTTAATGTCGAGTTTAGTTAACTTCAAACCTTCATAAATCGTTTTTTTTTAATGGAACACCCTGTATGTTTTTCTATATTCTGATGTACAATTTTATTCTCTTTCGAACGGTATCAGGGTTCTCTATACCTATCTCTTCTAGTTTTTAAGTTATCTACTATTTTTTGTGTAATCACCTAAAATCATGTAATTTCTTGCGAGGATAGCTGTGGAATTTTTAGCAAAACTTCAAAACAAACAACTAAACTGTCACCAGTTATTTATTATTATTTATTCACAGACGTTGCAATGGGATTCTAAGCAGAACATTTACAGTTTTTAATGAGACATATCCCAATTTTCCACCAATGAGCAGAATAAAGTTAAGAAAAATTATAAAAAATCAAGTTCATACATAGTAATACACAATTTTAATTATGTATGCTGATAATATAGTAGGGGAGCCCAAGAGGGGATTTTCGTATTTACTCAAGTGCGGCAGATTAACATATGGGAGATACCTTGCACCCTGTTGAGTAACTCCACCATATCTAAGCCCTCTATATAAAGCCGCGCGTGTAGGGCAGCCAATCAGAATAGTAAAAAAAATCGATAGTTGGAAATACTCGAGCACATCAGATTAAGGTATGATGGGTATGCTGAAAAGTGTGCATTTCAATAATCTGACGATTTGAGCGTGAAGTAAGGCAGTCGGACGGTCACAAAGTTCCAAAAAAAAAAACGTCACCTCGACATTCTCGAGCGCGGTCGAATTTTTTCTGTTTTGAAGGAAATAATTCAAGGATAACGGGAAAAATATAATTGCCGATTTCCACAAGCCGAAGTAACAAAACTCGTTCATAAAGTTTAGCGCGAGCAGCTGCAGGGAAATATGTATTCCCCACTTCGCGTCTGTCACTCCCTTTCGCTCTTTCTCGATCTTTGACTCTCTCGCATCATCCCCACGCATCATCACAACTATGGCACTATGGTGGTATTGTATGTACAGGGTGTCCCGAAATTAATGCAACAAAACTTGGTCATAGATTCTTAAGACAAATTTAGGGGGCCCGTATTTTTTATTTTTGCCAAGTAGCCCCCTGAAGTCCGCCCTTTTTTTCATATCTCTGAATCCTGTTATACGAGAATCACTAAATTTGGTACACAGGGGTTTTATGACATCAAGAAAACGATAAAAAACTTTAAAAATATTGTTTTTTATTAACCTCAACCATAATTTTTTTTTACGTCTATCAATTGTAATTTTATAAGAGAGATTGCCGAAAGTATATATTATATGTGTTTATATGTATTATAATTAAAAGAAATAGATTTACGTGTGCAGAAAGTAAAATAAACTTTGTTTTTACAAATTTCATCAAAATTTGTTTGCATGCTATTTTTCGCGCATTTTATTTGTTACATTCGGTGATTTAAAAATAAAAATAATGAAAATTTTTTGTTTCAAACCGTCAGATTAAGAAAACCCCTCCAAATAATCGTCAGATTATGGATCAGCATGACCAGAGGGCATCAAGCTGAACCATCTATATGAAAATCAGACGCGCTCGAATATTTCAAAATGGCGATTTTTTTTTGCATTTTCAATAAACTGCCACGAGTTTGAATCACATCTGAATCATCAGTCTTTTGAATGGGAGCTTCGTTCGGGTTCACTTAACATCTCTGAATATCTGACGTGCTCGAGTAAATTTATTTTTTTCCTCATTTTTAGCCTTTCCGTACGGCCCCCCACCATCCAAATCGACAATTAACATAATTATGTCCGTTATCGGAGACACGTAGGGCATATACACTATCAATCACTGATGCGTTCCCCCCACCGGTGAAAGGGTGGGGATCATACAACCTTTTTTTCTTTCTACCATCTAATCTTTAAAATCCAATAGGTTGCCACGACGCTCAAGTAAATCCTCATTTAGCATTGTGGGCTCCCCTATTAAAAATGCACTAAGATAAAAAAAATTACTTAAAAAAGTCATAAGTGTTCAATATGACCCCCATTAACAGCTGACATCATCAGTCACCGCTTTTGCTATTTTAGCTGTAAGCAGTTCATGGAACGCTCTTCGTATTCGAGCAATCAAATCCTCTTTTGAAGCAACGGGCGTAGAATAAACTTTTGCTTTATTACTCCCCAAACAAAAATCTAATGGAGTGAGGTCGGGAGACCTAACTGGCCAATTCCACGGTCCAAGGCGTCTCATCCATCTATCTTCAAACATTTCAGTCAGCTGTTGATCGATTTTATTGTGACAGTGAGGTGGAGCCCCATCTAATTAATACCAACACTTCCCTAGTTGGTCTAAAGGTATATCATCTAGAAAATCTGCCACAACGTTTGCAAAATATTGAGATATCTGTCGGCATTTAAATTTTCTTCGTAGATATGGTAAGAAATTTGGTTATCTTTAATTAGACAAAGAACATTTACGCTAAATTTATTTTGAAAGTTTCTTTCCCTTATAACATGAGGATTTTCAGACGGCCACAAATGAGTATTATGTCTATTAAAAATACCTTCTCTCGTAAATTTTGACTCATTTGTCCATATATGTTGCAAAAATTGTGGATCTTCTTGGTATCGCACTAACATCGTTTCACAAAATTGTACACGTTGCACGAAGAGCAAAAAATAGCTTAAATATCATTAGTTCTTAGCATCCTGTGAATGGACGCTCGTAAAATGCCTAAATCATACTCTGCGGCACGAGTTGAGGATTCTGGATGAAGATTAAGATAGGCTAGCACATTTATTACATTATCTCCTTTTGAAGTTTTTGTTTTTTGGTAAAATTCCTTTTGCACAAATTCGAACTTACTCTAGTTGATTTACTAAAATTCTTAACTTTTTTCTGCTCATTGGTGGCAAATTTGGATATGTCTCATTAAAAACTTTACATGTTCTGCATATAATCCCATTGCAACGTCCGTGAACGAATAATAAATTTAAAATATCAGCATTTGAATATGTATTGTTTTCCATTTCTTATTATAGCTGTTTTACATTGACAATTTATTGATCAATTAGTTCATGAAGTCGCTTCATCAAGACAAGTGTAATGCACCAAATCAGCTGTCAAATAACTTCATCAATTTATTCATCAAGTTCTTGACGAATTAGAGCATGTTCTAATTTTCGTCAATTTCTTCGTGAAGTTCGGAAGTACCAACCCAACAGATTTTCAGCCTCAGATCAGTAATGAGGTTATGTTATTGGAATATGTAAATAATTGTGGCATTTTACATGGTTTTTACTGATTTTTTACTTACAAAAACTAATATTTATATATATATGTAACAGAACGGTACCTCTGTTGTATCACTACAATTATGAGTGGAAAGAGTTACATTTTTGAAATTTATTTGCTTCTTTGATTCGTTGGTAGAACTGATTCGTGCGTCAAAAAACTTGACAAAGTCTGTACCAGTGTAAAACCACACTGTTTACCAATAAATTAGTGAATTAATTGATGAAGAATTTCATCAATTTATTCATGAATAAATTAACAATGTAAAACAGCTATTATAAACACTAAACTAAAACTAAACAGCTATTACAAACACTAAATTAAACTGTCACTGCAAGATACTAACAACAAATTGACAGTTTAGTCGTTTGTTTTGAAATTTTGCTTTGCTTTTTGCTGAAAAAAAAAAACTACATGATTTTAGGTGACGACACAAAAAATAGAAGATAACTTAAAAACTAGAAGAGATAGGTATAGGGAACCCTGATACCGTTGGGAAGATAATACAATTGTGTATCAGAATATAGAAAAACATACAGGGTGTTCCATTAAAAAAACCGACTTATGAAGGTTTGAAGTTAACTAAACTCGGCATTAAATTTCACCCTGTATGCAATTAAGCCACTTTGAAAGTATGGATGGGAAGCTTAGGGGTCTAGCTGTCCCCCCTAAAAATATTGTTGCTTTATCTTTGTTACTATAAATACACATGGTTTGAAGCTAGTCACTGTTTCTCTCCATTTCTTTGAAAAAAATTAAATATCTCGAAAATGGTTAATTTTAGGAAAGGGAGACTTCATAAAAGTCCACCTAAAATAACAAGTAAAATCCAAGATTGCAACAATATGCTCCATTTAAAATAAACAAATTGATGGCGGTATTCCAAATTTTCAAAATTCAAATCGAAGTAGTCTCTGAAATAATTCTAATGGGCCGTCACCGTGAGACATCCTGTATATACCAAATAAAATAAAATCTTACCATTTGAAAAATTAAGGGACAAAAGCAACTAATGATCGAAACTCTACAAAGCCTGTGAGCTTGGGAAAAATGAATTGAAAACAGCATCTTAGATAACGAATCCCGCCAACACCAAACTAATGAAGCTTTCGGGCTAAAATTTTTACCACTTATTAAACAATCCTGATTTACGATCAAAATTGCATTCATTAGCAATTGAAAAAAACGGCAATTTTCGACCATTATTGAGCCCTCGCGTATAAACAAATTATCGGAATTTAATTGCACTTGTCTCAATTTACAGGTTTATTTGATACCCACTTTTTTTTGTATAAACCTTTTTTCATTGTAAATAAGTTTTTTTACGACAAAAAACCACTTTTCCATAACTTTGACCATTGTTTAAATAAAGTTTCCCAACGAGTCTCGAGTTGATTTTTTGATATTTTGTTTATAACACGATTCTGAACAATATTCCGCAGAGAAATTTCTAACGGTATTTTTTTCCCAAAAAAAAGCTATAGACTGGCCTATAAGGTATTAATAATAAAACTAAACCAAGTGCTTTGGTAAAATTGTATTATATAAATTATAAATGTACATCAAACATATAAATAACAATAAAGTATATATCCTTAATATTTCCGACATATTTTCCAACAAAAAAAAATTATTTTGTTATACGGTACAGTTTAACACTAATTACAACATTTGGAGGCATTGCCGATGTGAGGAGCGTAAGTTTTTGTTAGTTTCTGGCAAGCACTATTTAACTTTTTCTCTTTAGGGGTACTCGAAGTTTCACTCTTTTCATTTTGATTTGTTTCACCTTCTACATTTATAACGCCTTTCTTATTTACAACAGTAGGTCGTACAGTGGAATGCAACACAAACTTTTTTGTTAAGGAACTATAGGATTGAGCTTGATGTAACGGAGTTTTGTTGAACAATTCAGGTAGAGCTATACATATTTTCTTCTTAACGTGGAAATACTTACTTAAAATACCATTTTTCTTTAAATTACATTTTTCCACTCGATCGTGAATACTTTGTTTTTGTAATAAATTTATGTACGTCGCGTCTAAATACTTTTTTGGGCATTTCGTAGAGCAGTAAGCTACACCGCTGTCCACCTGTAAATACTTTTGATTTCTCGAGTATTTTTCAGATTCATTTATGGATTTGTCTGCAACAAGTAGAGATAAATTACTTTGTATGCTAAAAATAGTCGATATTAAAACCGAAGGTGATCCGTCTTCTTGTACTTCGTTTATTCTGTTTAAAGATTGATTTTCTTTAAGGTGTGCCGTTTTGCCATTTTTTTTCTTTACGAATTTATGCTTTCGTGTAACCATTAAGTTTGTATTTGATGTGTTCTTTTTACCGCTGTTATTGTTACTTTTAATTTTATGTTTCTGATATTCTGTGTTTTTATTAGAGTGAAGCGAGACTTTATTCGAACCAAATTTCTTATTTTCGTTTGATCCGGCACTCGCACCTGTTTCCTGGGAATCACTGCTGTCGTCATGACTGTCCCTTCTCCCCTGAAAAGATTTTGTTGACGAGTTCAATTTCTCGGCCTGTTTTTTTCGTTTTTCACTGTCATCGTCGCTAGCGTCTGAAGAACTGCATGACGCAGTACGATTTTTATGGAATTTTAGTTTTCTTTTTTCGTACAGTTGATTTCTATTTAAAAATTTTCTTGGAGTGGTTTCCAAAATATTGAACATTTCCGACTCTTCGAAGATTTCATTCAACTGCAAATATGAAGAAGTACCAATTTGGGAAGGTGGGGGAATTTCATTATTGTATTTCGCCGACTCGACTTCTTTATCACTTTTAATTGTTACTTTGGGTATTTCTGATTTCAGGTTACTCTTATACATTCTGACTTTAGTATTTGAATCGGTTAATTTGTTATCTCCATTTTTTTTATCTTCGATTATCTTATCCCCTTTTCTTCCTTCTGATTCTGCTATTCGTTCTTGGACAGCTAAATTTAGACGTCCCTCCGAACGTGATCCTCTACGAATTAATGGTTCACCTAAATTTTCTTGTCGTGCACAAGGAGAAATATCCTCCCCCTCTTCTTCATCCTCCTGCACGATGCTGCATTTTCTAGACCTCTGAAACAAACATTTTTTATTTTCATAATTTCCTGCAAATTATTTTATTAACTATGTAACTTTTCTATATACAATCGAAAATATTATTAAGGAGGTCATCGGGGGTTATCATGCTAATGCAAACAAAAATATTTTTTATGACTATAAAGTAAGTAGATTGAGATACTTGCTTATAGATATTGAATAAAATCTAATAAATAAAAATTTTTACCCAATATGCATAAATAAATGTCAAAAATTGCACCAGAATAGCATGCAATAGCGCACGAGTATGCCGAGTTTATTATTTGTACGTTGGCAGTCATTGTCTTGTATACAGATTTAGTTACATGCGTAAGTAGCATACTACTATGATGCACTTCTGTGAATACAAATGTTCCTTCTAAGACAAGGGTTTAAAGCGATTACATTTATGAAAGTATAATACAATTTGATATACAGTCTGTCCAAGATAAGAATGGGATAGCATTAGGATCTAGGAAATGGTAAGAGATGCAGGGTGGCAAAAATTAGAAAAAAATTGTGTTTTTTTATACCTAACATTATGCCGTTTAGAATGTTTTAAAATTCCGTGTAGTTCCGGAGATATTCGAAAAAAAACGAAATTTTGCAAAATCGTTTTATTTTTTTTCTGTCTTTATTTGAAAACGAATTTTAAAATAAATTGCACATTTACATTGCCACTTTTTTCGCTCTATCCAATGACGTCAACATTTTTGCAATCCGACGTTTTTTCTTCGAGGAACCATCATCTTAGTCCACAGTACAGGCCCCCTCTGGAAAGTTGATTACCACATACTTTATAACTCCTGAGGAGCTTCGTTTTGACGAGTCTACCACATTTTTCCTCTGCGACTTTTCTCGATTCCTCCGCTTTTCCACTCGGAAAAGTCCAAAAACATGGCAATTTCCCGGGGTCTTGAAAACTCAAGACCATATCTTTTATTTTTAGCTTAAATAACTGGAAATTTTGTTGCAAATGCCGATTTAAATTTGTCCGACAGAAATTCCTCCGACATTGACGTGTCTACCGGTCGAAACATGCTAAAATAACAGGGTATTGAAAATCAATTACCACATAGGTAATTTTTAGTAAAATTAATTGTAAATAATTAATTCAGTCAAAAAGTATTGTTGTCCGACAAATTTCAAGCCGCGTTTTTTCAGTCCGACAGCTGGAAATCGGAATTTTGACAGGGTATGAAAAATCGATTACCACATGTCGGACAAAAATAACACACGATAGAAAAGTGTTTTTTATAAGCAAAAATTGTAATGTCCGACAAAAATATATCCGCAAATCGTCAGTCCGACAAAAAAAGATGAAAAAAATTTCGTAAAAAATGTGCACATGTATTTATAATTTCTAATAAGGTATTTTCATGTATTAAGCAAAATTCCATATAAATATACAATACAGGGTGTTTCAGAAAGACCTTCCTTAAATACAGGGGGTGAAGACGACAAAAAATAAGAATTTTTTGTCATATGAACTACATATATGTCTATCTTCTCTTCTCAAAGCTCAAGCTTACTTTGAGAAAAGTCACTTATTTTATAGTGTAATATTGTAAGAGTTTAATTAAAAGCCTTTTTTCTCGAAAATCGTCCGCATTAGGAAATTCTAACCAGAGTACATTATTTTTAGAAAATAAAATTATACAATTGAAATTAGAGCCCAAATGGTAAAAAACCTAACCTTAAAAAAAATATACTTAAATTGTAATAGGAATGTAGCATAAATAGCGCTTTCTATGAAATATACAAAAAATAATTAGACTAGCGTATTTGGCACCCTTAAAAACCTTTGGCTATCAAATTTCATAAAAATATTTCGCACTATTTGGAAATTTTCATAAAAATGTTATTTAAAAAATTTTATTTTGTCTCTCTGTATCTCGAAAACAAGAGGAGATAGACATAGAGTTCATAAGACAAAAAAATTCTCATTTTTTATCATACTAGCACCCTCTTTATTTACGGGAGGTCTTTCTGAAACACCCTGTATATATTTTTCGTTTTATTCTTGTAATTGTAAATCTATATGCTCAATTTAGCCAAATAAATATCGAGAAGAGAATTAAACGATTTCAAAAAAGTATGTATGGTGTAAAAAAATTATGCACAAAAGTTTTGGGATTTTCTTTTAGAAAAATAGGAAAATTTTTGTAAACAAAAATAACAAACGCGAATGAAAACTTGAAAGAGAAAAAAGGATTTTTATATCAAGTATTAATCGCCTCAAAAATAACTTTTTATTTGTTTTTTGTTTATAACTTTTAAATTTTTAAGCATAAAATAAGCAATATTATAATTATTTATTTGAAATAAATAATAATTTACATAATAATAATTAATAACCATTTATAAATTTGAAATTTTTGGAGTGAAAAATTTAAATTTCATCACATTTATTGACTTATTGATCTTTTAATAATTTGCGGACATTAAATTGTCGGACACTTATATCACTATTTTGTACAGTAAATTTAAAAGTGAAAAAATTGAAAATTAGATATGTGGTAATCGATTTTTCATACCCCGTGAAAATTCCGATTTCCAGCTGTCGGACTGAAAAAACGCGGCTTGAAATTTGTCGGACAACAATACTTTTTGACTGAATTAATTATTTACAATTAATTTTACTAAAAATTACCTATGTGGTAATTGATTTTCAATACCCTGTTATTTTGGCATGTTTCGACCGGTAGACACGTCAATGTCGGAGGAATTTCTGTCGGACAAATTTAAATCGGCATTTGCAACAAAATTTCCAGTTACTTAAGCTAAAAATAAAAGATGTGGTCTTGAGTTTTCAAGACCCCGGGAAATTGCCATGTTTTTGGACTTTTCCGAGTGGAAAAGCGGAGGAATCGAGAAAATTCGCAGAGGAAAAATGTGGTAGACTCGTCAAAACGAAGCTCCTCAGGAGTTATAAAGTATGTGGTAATCAACTTTCCAGAGGGGGCCTGTACTGTGGACTATCAGGTTCTTTTTTTTAAATACATCGCTGCTATTTTTGTAACAATCTAAAGTAATTTTTAATTCTGAATTAGATGATATTACTATTGCAATTGTTTAAAAAAGTTTTTAGATTGTTTTAGCTATCATTTAAAATTTCTCCTGAGTATGGCTCTGAACACTCAAAATATCTATTGGAGGAAGTCATAACAGTATAAAAGTCAATACAGTATAAAATATCCAACATTTTTTTTACTACTGTGGGAACACAAGTTCTCTGGTAGGCCTCTGTGTTCATAGAAAATAATGTTTACAAATAAGAAATAGTATGGAAGCAAATTTGCCTGTTTCAGTGTCAGTGCCATAAATCCTTATGAATAAAGACCCTCATCTGGATATTATAAACACAACATTTTCTAGGTAGCTGACCGTACCCTTAGGCAGGCAATCTGGGAACATTCTCGAGTTGACGGGCATATTGAGCGGTCCTAGCCCAGTACTTATTCTTTCATTTTTTTGTCAATCAGTTACCTAATAAAGAGTTAGAGTGTTACCTGGCGTGATATTATTTTGGTGGATATCGAATACCCCACACTACTATAAGCAATACTAATTAGAAATAATAAAACATTTCATAAATTCATATTATTTTTTTATTAGGTACTTTTTTAAATTATTGATTAAAAAAAATTGTTGAATATTTTGTGCTGTATTGACTTTTATACTGTTGACTTCCTCCAATAGACATTTTGAAAGTACTCAGGAAAAATTTTAAATAATAGCTAAAACAAGCTAAATACCTTTTTAAACATTACAATAGCAATATCATCTAATTCAGAATTAAAAATGACTAGATTTTGTCATAAAAATAGCAGCGACATATTTAAAAAAATGAACCTGACGATGGCCCCTTGAAGACGAAACGTCGAATTGCAAAAATGTTGACACCATTGGATACAGCGAAAAAAGTGGCAATGTAAATGTGCAATTTATTTTAAAATTTGTTTTCAAATAGTCAGAAAAAAAATAAAACGATTTTGCAAAATTTCGTTTTTTTTTTCGGATATCTCCGGAACTACCCGGATTTATAAAACTTTCCAAACGGCATATTGTTAAGTATAAAAAAACACAACTTTTCTCTAATTTGAGCCAACCCGTATTTCTTACCATTTTCTAGATACTAATGCTATCCCATCCTTATCTTGGACACACTGTATATAGTATTATACTGTGATGATGTTATTGCAGCGCAAAAAATATTCTAAAAATTATACTGAAATTATTGAAATGTTAATTTTAAAATGAGAAATGATATTAAAAATGACATAATTTATCAAAATGTATAAGATTGTTATATGCCCTGTGATGCAAAGTATAAATATTTCATTGTTTATATGCTGCTGTATTTTTTACTTCTTGTATTGAAAGTTTATCATATTTTATAAACAAAAAAAAATATTTCAAGTCATACTTCATTTGAAACTTTCCCATTATTTTATTATTCTAAATTGAATTATACAAATAAACACAAGTTGAATATAATCTATTTCTAATGACTATATTGTGTATTGAAACATTTATTTAAATTTCCCTCATTCTGATTCATACTCAATTGCGCTGTTGCCGTTACTCCTTGACGTTCATTATTTGGCGGACAAGTCAGTATCAAACTTTTAATGTTTGATAACTTATTTCTGCGAAATGTGAGGTAACCTACTTTTTTCTTTCTCTCATCTATTAATTAATGATTTAGATAAATGTCTATATTTTTTCATCTTACCATTTGCATCTTTTCACCCGTAATTCGATTGTAAGGGCATGTATTAGTGATGTAACGAATATCCGCATTCGCATTCACATTCGCAAATATTCGTTTGATTTATGACATTCGCATTCGCATTCGCAAATATCTTTGAATCTTTTGCGAATGTGAACGTGAATGAAAAATACAGAATGTGGAAACACTATTAGGTAAATTAAATAAAAAAGTATTCATTTCTTTTCTTTTTAATTACAAAACTTACTTAAAACAATTATATCTTTCTATAATCAACCTTTATATTTGGTGTTAATTAATCACCTTTCTATAGACATTAGAAAACAAATAATACTATGTTTATACAGGGTGTTTTTGAATGGAGTAACATAAAAGATACCAGTGAATCTACATTTCAAAAGAACACGATCTGCAAAAAATCGCCTTAGTAAAATGTTCACCCCTGAAGAGATATGAGCCATCAAAGTTCCCAAAAAAATTATGAAAATTGGCTGTAATTTGAAAACCGAACGAGGTACAAATAACAAATTTTTTACAGGTTGTTTACTAACACAGATGTGAGTTTTCAATTATTTTTCGAAAATTTTAACCCCTCGAAAGGGGTTGAAAAAACCACCCCTCAAGCCATTTTTTGCCATAACTTTTATATTTCGTAAAAACTCGATATCCAAAAATACGCATTAGATAAACTGGTTCTTTTAGAAACTTTTACCTCTCTAGCAATTTTCTTTTAAAACTTTTCGTTTATTGATAAAAAAATAAAATGTATTACCATTCACCTCACACCGTATATGATTGCAATCAATCAAAGAAAAACTAAATGTGCTGTTGTCATGCCAGTTGTCACAATTAACTCTTCTGTAAGTTGTCACTGTTATCAGCTAAATACTTTTTGGGTGTAAATTAACAAGAATTATGCCAAATTTTACTAATGACATTATATATTATTAAACAGTCTAACCTCACAATTCATAAACTCATTTGAGCCGGTAGCAAAAACAAAACAAAATTCCAATCATACAAAAATACCGTTCTACCAACCTAACAACGCTAATTTCTTTAGCCTCTAGCGCCGCTGTCACCGGAAATATTATATGCGTCGCACGCGGCATATTTTGAATCATAAACGGCGCTAGATTTAAAAACTGAATATTCGTATTCGCATTCGCGAATGTCAACAACAAATGTTTGCATTCGCGAATGCTTAAAAACTGGCATTCGTTACATCAGTAGCATGTATCATAGCATTTCCCATAACAACCTATGTAAAATATTAAAATTTTTGGCATTAATTAAAAACTAAACCAAATCGATAAATAATTCAAGAATAATTCACAGAATTTGATTCCACATTGCAAAAATAATATATCTCAATAATTTGAAATTGACTGGATTTTTTCATAGCACTCGATCCTCCTTAACAAGTATTTAAAAAATATTTACTGTCTTTTGCAAATAATTTTTGATTAGTTAAAAACGTCTATACAGGGTAACCCAGAGTAAATTTAAATTATCTTTATGTAAACCTTGTATAGGTTGTACGTACAGGAGGAATATAACTATTAACAAGCAGCAAATGTATGCAGAGATTATCAGTAATCATGGTACAATAGTTGAGAGAATAATGTTCATTCACGGTAGAGGTGTTCTGTAAAGTGAACGATTTTTACACACTATAATAGGTTAAAAATGCCTACTGGTCCGGAAGTGTCGATTTATGTTTGAAAGGAACTCTAGTGTAACTAACATTATTATCAGCAAAATCAAATGCCCCAGTGGCAATTAAAATATAACACTTTGCAGGTTAAATCTCACCTACATTCCAACACATCCCTAGATAAACTAGGGGGGGACTATTCACTGTTTGTCCGACCTATGACATACTAATGAGAACTAATAAGTTCAAAACCACTTTTTAGACGCTTACTCAAAGTATGTTCAAAATTATAATTTAATCAGCCACTAGTTTCAAATGTGACAAATAACAATAGTTGGGAAAGTGACATATTACATACCTGTGGTAAATCACCTGGAGTCCGTGGAATACTTAAAAAAGGCCTGGTTGTAGTGCATTTATTTTTTTCTGATGCCTGTATTGCTTGAGAAACGGACAGTTGATCTGGCCTCTTGTTTTTGTTTAGTTGCTCTTGGGCTTTAGATTTTAATTTTCTTTCGGCAAGTAAGTAATAAGTAGCAGTTACATGATTGTACTCGTTTTTTTCTAAACAGCTGAAAAAAAGGTCTTATATACATTTTGAATGCCTTGTGTAAAATTTTAGAATAACTTTTACGAGGTCTTATAGAATTAATAATTATTTGCAAGGAATCTCAAATTGTATTACTCCAAATGAAAAAAAATATGTTTGTGTGGAAAAATTTAGAACATGTTTTATTTTTCATCAAACTATGTATCGAAGAGGTCTTTTATGTATTTCAAAAGCACAGGGAAAACAGCGATACTAACAGAAGTAAAAGTAAGTGTAAAAATAAAAACAATATAGTAAACTCAAAAATGACTCGTTTCCCATATAAAATAATAAATACACGGTGCAACTTTGAGGGGGATTATATCTTTTTTTGACCTTTAGAAACACATGTCAATAGTTTATTTTTTCAAATTTCTTTGGAAAAACTTTATTTTTTTTATGCATTTTTAACCAATTTTCGTACCTCGCCGTTGGAGAAGAAGTATAGCCTCAAATAATGGTGTGCTTTAGTCGCAGCACATGCACAAATCCATACCATTCGCCACAAATTACTTTTGTTAAGTGGGTGTTCGCCACATAAACAGTACATAACAAGTAACCTAACAAAAAACTCGAGCAGTAATCAATAATGATAAATGAAATACACAAATAAATAGTCTGTTGGTGGCTCCCAGCGATAAAAAACATTCAAATTCAGTTAGATGATAGATGCGGAATAACAACTGATGCCCTTTGCCTTGTCACCATTTATCGGCACTACCTCCCTTCGCGTGCATTGTAGATTGCCTACAATTCATGTATTTGTAATACATGGTTACAGTGGTGGCATACACAAGTGTTAAAGTGCATTTTAAAAAACTAATTATAACTGGACTATTTATTTTTTGATTAAAAAAAAATAATTTCAGTTTCGTATTCAGGGGAACACATACTATTCCCTAAAAAACTGACCCCACTTAATGTTACACGCAGAGTGTTTCTGTAATAAGTGTGTTCCTTCAAAGGAATAACAGAACACATTATTTTTAATTAAAATTTTTGAGATACAGGGTCCTGAAACATCAAGTTTTCTGAAATATCTCTGATAATGTTTGATGAAAACTGATGAACCTAGGGTGCCAATAAGCATTCTGCAACTTCTGTTTATTACTAATGGAATTTATAAGAAAAACTGTCTCCTATACTTTACTCAAAACACAAGCCACCTTAGAGATGCACAATTGCAAGGACTGTTAACAACAAAAATAATATCCAAAGCGAAAGTTCCAAACACATTATCAGTTTGAGTCTACAAGGCTATTAAACTAACAATCCAACAAGGGTTGTATAATCTCGACAGTTAGGTTGTCTGGTCCGATAATGTGCAGGGGGGTTTAGGTATAGAACTTACTCCAAAATTTCCTCTTTTGTTGCTATGTTTCCATTAACAATTTTTTGTACAATAAGATTATGATCTTCTTCCGACAGCTGTTCTTTTGATACAAGGGGAAACATATCGGGAATATCTTGCTGTTTTCCATCACTTAACCAAGGATGACTAGTTATTTCCAGTAAAGTAGCCCTTTTGTCGGGATTTTTTACCAACATTCTCGATATCAACCTAAAAATAGACATATTGAATATAGTGTTTTCTAAGTTTATGTCATAACTAGTACAGGGACAGAAGCAGATGAATATAGAATCAATCACTAAGTAGCGGGCAATGAAATTAATATATTATAATGGTCGCCTTTTATATTTTGCGAATAGACGATCCTGGCACTGTTATCTGACAACCGACATTCCCATCAGCTCAAACAAGACTTTTTGAGAACTGAAAAAGTTGAATTGATGAGTCGTACGCTGTACAGTCCTGATTTGATGCCTGATGAATTTTTTTATTCCCGCACATTAAAAATAAATTATGAAGTCATCGTTTTTCAATGCCTGAATGCCTCCAAGTTTTGGAGGTACCTCAATCCTAATGGAAAAAGCGCTTCAAAAATTGGTTCAAGCACATGTTGAAGTGTATCGATCTTCATGGAGAATATTTTGAAAAACAATAAATCCATGTACATATGATTAATTTTTGTTTTGTTCTCTTTCACTGAAATATAATAGGCAACCATCATATTAGTAATTTTAGTGTAATAGCTCAAATTAGCAAAAAAAACATGCACCACTTATTTCAGATGGCTCCAAATTAGTTTGCTTGACAGTCTTTTAATATATTTTTTAATGTTTTACTATTTTTTATGTTGTACTTTAGCTATAGGACATCATCTTTCTAAAAAATTATCATTCATATCCTGATATTAATTATTACTGCTTATACAGGGTGTTTATTAAGTACTTGTATAAACTTTAAAAGGTGAATCCTTGCCTAATTTTAAGATAAAAAGCTCGGCTTGGTTCTTGAGATAACGAGTGTACAAAAAATGTTTTGTATGGTATTTTGATTATAGTTTTGTTCAAGAACATCACAATACAATCAATAAAAAACACATTTCACTTTAACCATTAACAAAAAAGTAAGTAAATATTTGAGTTTCTCATCATCAATACTCCCAGTTTCCTGACTTCCATGAAATTACCATGTAACCGAACAAAAATATAATCAAAATACCAAACAAAAATTTTATTTGGACTTCCCCTGTATCTCAAGAACCAAGCCGTTATGGAACATACGGAATTAATAACTGAAGTTGGAAATTCTTTAACACGTTGACTACGATATCGGTCCCCAGCGACCGATATCGCAATTAGTCTTGGCGCTGACACAATTTTTTACATTCTTAGTTACGGTGCGGAATGTGTAACTTTGTTAATATTAAAGTTAGAAATGCGAATCAAGTAGCTAAAAACTTGTTATAAGTTGCATTTTTTGAATATCATAATAAAATAATATCGGTCTCGGACGACCTATACCGATCAGAATAACCCCTCATTGCGCTGGTGCTATATAGGTCCCCGAAGACCTATACGTAATCATAGGAGAACATGTGTTTCTTCGTTATCGAATATAATAAAGCCAAAAAAGGGGTAGACTTTAGCGACCAGATGTCCTCGTATCATACTGTATTACGTCGGGGATTGAAATGGTACAGAAAAGTTATGTTTGAATTTTTATTTGGAACATGCATTGTAAACGCGTGGATTATCTACAATCAAATTTCGAACAAAAAAATGTCAATTACTCAATTTTGAAAAATCCTAGCAGAACAGTTGAGAGATCCTCCTACAAATACCACATCTGAAACAGCTCGTAAAAGAGTTCATACTTTCGTAAAAGCAGCTGGCCCAGGAAGGAAAAAAAGGAAACTGCAAGGGATACTATGAAGACATACGTAAAACGGGTGTTTCTAGTCGCGAAGCGAATAATAGTCTCAAAAGTCACAAGTTTTTGCGAGGACTGTCCTAATAAACCAGGCATGTGTCTTCCTTGCTTTAATAAACTGCATACTTAATTTTGTTAATTTTATTACTTACTTTTATTTTTCAAAAGAACTTTTGTAACATTTTTTAGTATTATTATAATAAAACACAAGAAATGTTGTCATTTTTAAATAAATAATACCTATAAACAAAGTTACACAAATTTTATTTTCAGTTAAAATTTATTATGTTATTTGTTGCAGTGTAGGTCGCCCGAGACCGATACGGAGCAAAATTTAGTTTCATGTTGGATGTATTTACAAATCCCTGTAACAATTTTTAAGTGTTGATTCTAAACAAAAAAATTAGATGGCGTCAAATGGCATTTTGTATATCGGTCTCCAGCGACCGGTACCGCACCATATTAAAGTTATGTTATCAGTCTCCGGGAACCTATACAGTATTAATTACGAATATACCCTTTTTGGGTACTGCAGTCAACGTGTTAAATCATTTCAGAGGGGCTAGAAAGTTAATATATAACATTACTTACTAAAAACAATTAAAAGAAATTGTAACAAACAAAATATCTTCAAAGCATATCATTATAATTATAAATTTTGGTGGAAAATTTATACGCAACCCCATATTATTTCCGTAAAGACCTAAATAATTCTAAACTTTGCGAATGAACAATTACTTACTTTCGACAGTGATCTGAAACATGTGCTGGGATATCATATTTACAATCCATTATCATTGTAAGTGTTTCAGAATCATTTGCTTCTTGGAATGGGGGTTGACCACAAACTAACATATAGAGAATTACTCCTAAGGACCAAACATCTATAAAAATAATACAAATTAGATATACTCGTAAATAAATATAAATTTATATTAGTAATAAACCAATTTCACTGAAAATATTTATATTCCAGTACCAAAATAGTAACCAATAAATAAATCAAAGTGTGATTTCTATTACTTCTTAAATTTTGTGTACTCTCTGCATGGAAACTGTAATGTGCCGATAATTTTGCATCATTTTCTGGTAATATTCTACATATCCTTCCCCATCATAAAGTGCAATAAAATGTCTACTAATAATTTTTTCATGTTCAAACTCTAATTCGACTGGAGTATTTTACATAAGATTCTCTTCAACCAATCAGCGATTGCATTATCTCGAGTCTAGATATAACAATTTGTCATTGTTTATTGTAAACGAATCATTAATATGAATGATGCTAAGATTTAGGGAATTTTATTTGAGAGTACCAGCCGTGCAATGTTATTTGCTTAAACCTGGTGGTCATGTGGATTGTAATCATTTACGAAGGCTCTGTGTTTATTATATAGGACTATCCAAGTCCCGGTACGGCAGAAAAACTTTCGAAAAATGCATTTTAGGAAAAACTGTTCCAGATAAATGTGTAAGGATTTTTCCCTGGCTACCTAATGGTGACCTTGGATTTGACCTTCAAGGTCATTTGAAGGTCAAGTTAAGTTTTTTAAATAGGAACCCCTATTTTTTATTGCGGATTTGGAAAGAGCAGGAAATTTTATGTTCAAAAATGGTCTTGACCATGACTTTGACAATGACCTTCAAGGTCATTACAAGGTCAAAGTTGTTTTTTCATTAGTAACCCCTATTTTTTATTATAGATTTGGAAAGAGCTGAAATTTAACCTTCAAGTACACCACTACAACTTTGACAATGACCCTCAAGATCATGTCAAAGTCAGGTTAATTTATTTACATTAAGGGCCCCATATTCTTTAAATAGTGTTTTCCGCAAAGACAAATAATTTCAAACATTTAATAACTGAATAATCTAAAGCTTTTCAAATAATAGGAATGTTATGTCATGCCATCTGGGTATTTTCAAAGACGCCGCAGTAAAACGAATAAACAGGTGCAAAAAACGATCAAACCATCAAGGTTTTAGGTACTGAAATCTACGAAAATACTAACTTTTTTATATATAACTCCACATGTAAATATTCTGATAACATTTACTTGCTTAGTCCTACATATAAAATTGTTTACTTTTATTTATAAGTACATGAAAATAATTCTTAAAATGTGGGGTTAGGATAACAGAAAATGCATGTTTTACAAACGCTTTTTTTTAGTTATTATTTTATTTGGGTAAATTTAAATGGTAACAATGAATAAACAAAACATCAAGGATTTTATTTTTGAGCTTACTTTTGTTCTACACGTTTTACTTTTAAAGATTTCAGTACCTAAAAATGCCAGAAATTTCACCATTTCTCGGCCAGGGATATGGCCACCTTAACTATTATTTGTTTGATAAGTTAGGAAGAACAGAAAAACAAATGTACGAATATGACCATAATCAAGTTCTTGGCCTTGAAACAGTTATTGAAGGTCATTGTAAAAACATTTTTTCAAGAATTTTAAAAAATTACTTAAAAAAACATCTTCACCTTCAAATGACCTTGGAGGTCAAAGTCAAGGTCAAATCCAAGGTCACCATCTGATAGACAGGGAAAAATCCTTACACTTTTGTTTGGAATATTTTTTCCCAAAATGCATTCTTCGAAAATTTTTCTGCCGTACAGGGACTTTTGGATAGCCCTGTATACAGGGTGATTCAGGTTTAATCTGGATAACTTCAGGAGTCGATAGAACAGGTTAAAATAATGTTCATTCATGATATAAACTTATTTCCTAAATCACACCGTTTTGGAAATAGAGGATGTTGAAGTAGGAATTTTTTTCCCTCATAACTTTCGAACCACTCATCCGATTGAAGAGAAATTAGGAACACAAACACTCCTTATGATCTTATATAAGCTTCATCAGTTTGAACCACCTACCCCTCTTAGAAGTGTATTATGTGTGCTACCCCCCTCTTACATTATTTCAACTTTTAAAAAATTAATTAATTTCAATAAAATAGCTGCACTCCACCTTTGCCTCATTAATTTTGAAACGTTTTCGTCTCGTTTTTTTTCGATATTTGGCCTTGTTTCTGAGATATTCAATGAAATTCGTGACAGTGTAGCGCCCGAGGTAGCGCTCCAACCACGTAAATTTCATTTAACGTTATAGCAACCCATGAAAAACAAAACTCATAGTGATTTGTATAAACTAACGTTTCTGAAAATCATCGTTAAAAGCATTACTAAGTTTGTAACGTCCCTTTTGCTCCGTCGTCAAATTTTTGTAACGTACTTTATTTACTTGGTTTTGATGTTGCGGTGGTGACGGTTCGGTTCAGACGTTACTTGTGGCCGCCCCCGGTATACTACCAACTCTAAACGGAATCTTAATTCACAATTTCGAATTCTAATTTTCTAGATTTATTGACGTCACTGACGTCCCTATTTGGACGCTTAATTTTGTGACGACCCTCGACTATTAGTTTATCGGCAGCGGTGGTTGGCAGCCGGCGGTGGTGAGTGACGTCACAGAAACGTACTCCGGGTTAAATCTTTTTGTGTGGTTTTGACTCGGGCGCCAGTATCCCAATCTTTTACGTGGGGGAAACTCCACGTGGAACCTACCCTCGGTTTAGAGTAAGTACTCGGGATAGCTACAGTGAAGAAAGTTTAAATCCAGGGGTCGGTTATATTTCTCTTAATTTTAATCACAGTAGTTCTCTGAGTGTAGTGTTATTTTCCTTTTAAAATAAACGGACTTATCTGTGTAGGTCACAAAAAGATAGTGCGACTCTTTACTGAGCGGAATTTATTAATCTTATCGGTGTTAAGAATGAAGACAACGGGAAATATATTTACTAGATTTATTCTATATTAACAAGGCCTACGTCAATTGAAACAATCAAAAGTAAAACAGATTCTTATTACAGTTATTATAAACAACTAAAATTAGAAATGTAAAAATAATGTACAAACGGTGTGAATAAAATAGAATTGGTTAGAGCAATTATATATCACGGGATTAAAAATGTCTATTCGGTTTTCCGGCGCTGTAAAGAAATACAAAATTAGAACATAGTAAAATATCGGTGGTCAGGACACAAAAATCGGTACGGTAGGCAAATGCAGTATTAGGCGGTTAGTTTATTTTTACAATAAACAATCTAATACTTTAAGAAAACGGTATGCCATAAATAAATAATCGGTTTTAGTTGCGGTCGGTGCTAGAAAGGAAAAGAGAGTTAGTAAATCAGAGTAGTAAATAATCAACAAATATGCCGATTCCAAATGGCTCTGAAACAAAGAAAAATAAGTTACGGGCTACTCTAATTCTACAAATAAATATCGTCGGCGGGTTCTAGCAAATGCAACGGAAATTATGCGGAGTTAATACCAGCCAAGGAGGAAGCGAAGCAAGCAATACACAAATGGCATAAATAAGCAAACGGTAATCAGGGACAGGAATAGTTTGGGTGACGGGAGGCAAAGTCTATTCGAGTGCACGTTCGGACGCGCGGCCGGTGACAGATTTCTCCTGGAAGCGGTGTTATGCACAGCCAACTCCCTGGGTCTATCCGTCGGTACGGCTGGCACTTAACGTCTTCCGCTGGCGATGTTATGCACAGTCAACCAGCAGTTTCAGTCAAGGTACCCCGCAACGTTCGTCAAAACGAGGGCGATGTTATGCACAGTCAACCCGCCGCCAGACAACGCCGCTGCCGCACCACGTACTGTATACGACAGATGTCTCCTGAAAGCGGTGTTATGCACAGCCAACTTCCTGGGTCTATCTGTCACGGTTTGGCCAGCACCTAACGTCTTCCACTGGCGATGTTATGCACAGTCAACCAGCGGTTTCAGTTAATGTGCCCTAGCTACGTTCCTCAAAACGAAGGCGATGTTATGCACAGTCAACCTCCGCCTGATAACGCCGCCGCCGCACCGGACAGCACTTAGTTCAAAATAGAGTTCAAAACTCGGCAGGACTTATACCAATATCAGGACAAGTAAAGATCAGGAAATACAATTTGCTTACTTATTCCGGGTCGCTGCTCCTGGTGGCTAACTCCTTCGGTTCGGATGGCGGTCTCTGGGTCGGTGTCAGGTCCTCGGGGTGGTCCTCAGGGCTGGAGCTGGAGCTCTTCGAGTTCAGGATCTGAACTGCCTGTTTTCGTCCAGGCACGGTTGTTTTATTGCCACAATCCCCCCTTAACTGACCAGGAGTCTTGGTGGGATTATGCGCGCGGCACTCGTCAGAGTGGGGCGAACGGACGGTTCAGCTCGACTCGCGGACTATAATTGCTCTTGCCAATTAAGTTAATTAAAGAAATAAATAGCAAAACTCTTACACAAAACTTAACATCAATACCGGTTCATTACAAGTTCAAAAGTTATGAGAGAAAAATGGGGAAAAAATTCCTACTTTAATGCCATCTATCTCTGAAACGGTGCGATTTAAGAAATAAGTTTATATCATGAATGAACATTATTTTAACCTGTTCTATCGATTTCTGAAGGTATTCAGATTAAACCTGAATCACCTGTATACAATTTAAGCGGCTGGGGCGCTACACTGTCACGAATTTCATTGAATATCTCAGAAACAAGGCCAAATATCGAAAAAAAAAAAACAAGAGACGAAAAAATTTCAAACTCAATGAGGCAAAGGTGGTGTGCAGCTGTTTTATTGAAATTAATTAATTTTTAAAGTTTTCAAATAATGTAAGAGGGGGGCAGCACACAAAATACACTTCTAAGAGGGGTAGGTGGTCCAAACTTATGAAGTTTATGTAAGATCATAAGGAGTGTTTGTGTTCCGAATTTCACTTCAATCGGATGAGTGGTTTGAAAGTTATGAGGAAAAAACGGGAAAAAAATCCTACTTCAACGTCCTCTATCTCTGAAACGGTGCAATTTAGGAAATAAGTTTATATCATGAATTAACATTATTTTAACCTGTTCTATCGACTTCTGAAGTTATCCAGATTAAACCTGAATCACCCTGTATACAATCTGTCTTCCATAATGTCTATAGAAAGATAAATAATTGATACACTTACCAACTGCGGGTGCATCATATGAATCACCTAATAGTATTTCAGGAGCAGAATATGCCAAACTACCACAAGAAGTTTCTAATTTTTGCCCGGGGTAAAATTTATTACTAAATCCAAAGTCAGTAAGTTTTACAATTCCACGATTCTTAAAGAATACCACATTTTCTGGTTTAAGATCTCTATGTACTACATGTAATTGGTGACAGTAAGAGATAGCTCTCACTATTTGAGTAAAATACTCCTTTGCAGCCTTTTCTGGGAGTCCTGTTTCATGCTTTAATATATACTCATATAAATCTCCTCCGTCCCCAAGTTCCAACACCAAATAAAGTTTGGTAGCCGTGTCAATTACTTCATACAGTCTTACTACATTTGGGTGTTGTACAAGTTTCATACAACGGACCTACAAAAATGTGTATCTATTAAAAAATACTTTTATGAGAAACTTCAACTTATAAAAAAATCAATCTAACTATATTGTATACAGAAAATTGGACATTGAAAAAAAAAAACAATTTTCTCCCAGACAAAGGACCCCACACAAAATGAGTGGATGGAAATTGGGTCCCGCTAGATTTGGCTGGAATTGTGATATAGTTCTCGACATTCTGATGAAAATTTGTCACGGGCCCAAAGTGATCCTATGGATAGTTTCAGAGATATAGAGAGGGGGGGGGGAAGTGTGTGATTTTGGCTGTAGGACTGAGTAAACTTCACAAGTTTCAAGTTGATGGATTCAAAAACTGAGGCATGTATTGAATTATGACCTGTAGGTACAATACTTTTGGGATCGCTGAACCTGAATTCTTGGATAGCTTAGCTATCTAAGGTCAGCTGGAGGTCAGGTAAAGGTCGTTTCAAGGTCAAACTGAAGAAAAGATTTGTATTGAAGGCCACATTTAGGTCAAGTCAAGATTATTTCAAGGTCAAAGTAAAGAAAAGGCACGAATGTTAACCTGTAAGTATGTATGCTTTTGAGGTCGCTGAACCTGAATTCGGGGATAGCTTAGCCCTATAAGGTCACCTGCGGGGCTTGAATTGAGATTAAGTCAAACGAAATAACCTTGACTTGATTTCCAGGTGACCTTATAGGGTTAAGCTATCCGCTAATTCAAGTTCAGCGATCTCAAAAGCATACATACTTACAGGTTAACATTCGTGAAAGACGTTTTCTTTACTTTGACCTTGAAATGATCCTGACTTGACCTAAATGTGACCTTGTAGGGCTAAGATATCCCCAAATTCAGTTCCCCCCACAAAAAAAACACATATACGCACTGGTTGAAATTCAATACAAGCCCTTTCTTTAGTTTCATCTTGAAATGACCTTGAATTGACTTGAAGGTGACCTTTAGGGTTACGCTATCTCAAGATTCAGATTCTGCGAGCCCAAAAACCTATACACACTGGTCAAAATTCAATACAAGTATTTTCTTCAGTTTGACCTTGAAACGACCTTTACCTGACCTCCAGGTTACCTTAGGTAGCTAAGCTATCCAAGAATTCAGGTTCAGCGATCCCAAAAGCATTGTACCTACTGGTCAAAATTTACACGCCTCAATTTTTGAATCCATCAACTTGAAACTTCGTGAAGCTTACTCAGTCCTACAGCCAAAATCACACACTTCCCCCCCCCCCTATATCTCTAAAACTATCTATAGGATCACTTTGGACTCGTGACAACTTTTCATCAGAATGTCGAGAACTATAACATATCACAATTCCAGCCAAATCTAGCGTAACCCAATTTCCATTCATTTTGTGCAGGGTCCTTTGAATAGGATGAAAAAAATCAGAAAAATATAACTACAGTAAGACCCTGCTTAACGCGTAGGATACGTTCCATCAAAGTGGAGCGTAATGGTAAACAGAGCTAAACGAAGCTATCTTAACATGTAAATAATGGGGTTGGGGAAGATGGATAGAAAATTGGTTAGGTATTAAATTTAATAATTACGTTTTTTTTTAATAAAAATAAAACCAAACATTTATTTCTTACAAAAATAAAAACAATATAAACGAATATTACTTATAAAAACAAATAAAATTCCAAGTCAGTCAGATCATTCAGGCTATTCTGTTTCCAATTTTCTGCCTTTTTGTCAAGAAGGCATCTAATGTAGTTTGCGTTTTCCTTTTGCGTTCTGTTAGAAGTTGTTGATAAGTGGATAAAGCATCTATAACACCCCATCTTGCTTTTGAACTCCTGTCAAAATTTGGATCATTTTCAACAAATTGGTCCATAATTTCAGTTATAGTGGTCAAACTCCTTTTTACAAACGCCATCGAAAGTTTCTACACTGTTTCGGATAGGTTATGTACAAATTTGGAAACCTAGCGTTGCGCACAATTTCGGGGAATCCCGTGGCACTGCGAGCAATTTCGAGGAATCCCCGGGTTGAAATAAAAGAGTGCTAAACCGAAACAGCACTAAACGAAACAGCACTAAACGAAACAGCGTTAAGCGGGGTCTTACTGTATTATTAAAATCTAGGATGGAAATGATTCTAGCCACTATGTTTGCCATATACCTGTACTCCAGTCGAAGTAGATCATAAAACTTGAAAACTTGAAAAAATTATTAGTAGATATTTTATTGCACTTTATGACAGGGATGGGTATGTAGAAAGATAATATCAAAAAAGTAAGTCGAAAGAAGTGACGCTAAGGTGGCAAATTGCAAATATGTGGCAAATTTACGTATTTTTTCACTTTTCTTACTGCCCACGAAAATCCTACAATTTAAGGCACCTACAGTCATTTTTTATTAATTTTTATTTAGCACACATGTTGATCATTGGATTGACCATCGTTTCCATAAACTTCACCAACATCCATCATTTTTTCCAATATTAATGCACAATTTTCGAAAACATGATATTTCCGCGTTCTTCCTTCATTATACAGTTAACAAATTGGTGAAATATGACCTTAGATATTTTAAATCGTAGGTAATTAATTGCCTACAACATGAAATGACTAATTTTCCGATAGGTTGTCTAGATTTTTGATGGACAGTAAAAAAATGAAAAAGCATGTAATTTTGCAACTTATTTGTAATTTGCGAACTTAGCGTCACTACTTTCCAGTTACTTTTTTGATAATAACATTGTACATACCCTTCCCCGTCATAAAGTGCAATAAAATGTCTAGTAATAATCTTTTCATGTTCAACCTCTAATTCGACTGGAGTAATATAAATAATACTATTAGAGTCAGAAAAGTGCTAAAATTTAGTGTTCTTTCTTTGTTTACTCATAAAACATTAAGATTTGATTTCTTTTTGCTATAAAATACAGGGTGATTCATTAACAATGGGAAAATCGAAAGCTGAATATACTACACGTGAAATGGTGACCATTGGCGCAAACATGCCTTATCCTAAAGTTGATAGTTTCGGAAATACAGGGTGTTGAAAGTTAAAATTTTAAATTGTTTTCTGCGATTATTCTGAAAATATGTAGGTTAGGAACTTGAAAATTTGTGAAACTATGTTTTTTTAGCGACGAATAAGACACGTGTTGTAATTTCAGCATTGCTCATAGAGGGTGCCACTTACAACCAATTTTACCGAAAATTTAGTTAATAACTTTTTACCCTGTATGTCTAACATGAAACTTGATTCAAAACCTGAAAGAGCAATCATTTTTCTATTAATTGTGTATTCTTGTTTCATTTCGGTATCTCGATCCATTTTCGAGAAAAATCGCACAGTTTTGATAATACGAGAAATTAAAAGCGAAACAAACCAAGTGTTTCTTCGTGTTATTACAACAATTAACAATAAAACAAATGAATCGTGTGAAGAGTTGTGGCAAAGAATGCAATCCCAATATGTTGTTTCAAACTCGAAGATCTCTCAGAAAGGGTGTAAAGTGTATCAGTGTCAACGGTGGATTCTTCGAACAATTACTTTAAATCATAATTACGTATAATATTTGTTTTATTATTAATTGTTGTAATAACACGAAGAAACACTTGGTTTGTTTAGCTTTTAATTTCTCGTATTATCAAAACATAGTGTTCGTTAAATCGATTTTTCTCGAAAACGGATCGAGATACCGAAATGAAACAAGAGTACATAATTAATGGAAAAATGATAGCTCTTTCAGGTTTTGAATCAAGTTTCATGTTAAATATACAGGGTAAAAAGTTATTAACTAAATTTTCGGTAAAATTGGTCATAAGTGGCGCCCTCTATGAGCAATGCTAAAATTACAACACGCATCTTATTCGTCGCCTAAAAAAATATAGTTTCACAAATTTTCAAGTTCCTAACCTACATATTTTCAGAATAATCGCAAAAAAAACGATTTAAAATTTTAACTTTCAACACCCTGTATTTCCGAAACTATCAACTTTCGGATAAGGCATGTTTGCGCCAATGGTCACCATTTCACGTGTAGTATATTCAGCTTTCGACTTTCCCATTGTTAATGAATCACCCTGTACATTTACCTTCTGTTAATTTTTGGGTGTAGGTTCAAATAATTTCAGATTTGGAGACACAATTAAATGAATTTGTTAAAATATGTTATTTTCATATTTATTTAGATTCATTGCAGCACTATAAAGTGTGTAATTTTGAGTAGGGGTCATATTCATACAGAAACACGTATTGATAATTTATTTTTTTAAATTCTGTTTTGAAAATTAAATTTTTTTTAACCTTTTTTAGTAATTATCATACCCTGCTGCTGTGACTTCAAACAACGGTTCGCGTTAGTCGCAGCGCACGCTCAATTGGGAGCTGAGCTATGCATTGTAGTAAAATGTCATAATTTAAATAAAATGCTATTAGCAAGTAATTTTCCTCACCACCCGCCATCAGGTACTACTTTTTGGTGCATTACTTTTGTTGAGTGATTGTTCATTAGAAGCCCTCTGTCATCCCTCAAAAATGAAAATTTAATTATTTTAAACAAATTATTTTTATTATTTTCATTAATTTCTCTGTATCCCAGTTGATTAAAAATATATATATTTACAATTAGCTATTGACTAATATTTAATAAATCATGTAAACATTTTTTTTTTTAGAAACAATAGATTTTTTTTTATTTTGGGCACTTCAACCACAGTAATATCAAAAAAATATGGTGTGACTATAAAATAACACATTGATAAATCTGTTTTACTACTTATTTTCCATTTTAACTTTTCACAATGTAAGTTAATTTAAAAACTGTCAACGCTGACAGTGCAGGAATACAACTTAATATTTTGTTAATTCTGGGTGGCGGCATACAAAAAAATTAAAGTGCAGTTTCAAAAACTAATTACATTATTTTGAACATTTACTGGGAACTTAATTTTTTTGTGTAAAACCTGGTGCATATTTGCTCAAACTCAAAATATGGTGATTTAATACAACTTATCTTTATATTAAGCTGCACCCCTGAGAAGTTATAGGCCTTGAATGTGGGGTTTAAAATTTCGAAAAAAAAAAACAATATCTCAGTTATACTTGAACTTAGAAAAACTAAATTTGGTACACGGTGTGAATGTGCCAAGAGCACTAATTGACAGTAAGTAGAGTTCAATTGAAGCATTTTAAAGTGTTGATAAGGGACGATGCACCATTAAAATGTGACAGAATTTTTTAACCCAGTGGCGGACTTAAAAAATTATGACTATTTTATGGGAAATTTAATTCTAAAAATTTTCTTTGTCGTTTTCAACATAAACACGTATAACTAATAATACGTTTTGTAGCTGTCATTTAAAATCATCGAAAATTCAAAAGTTGGCTATGAATTTAAACATCAAACTTGATAATCAGGAAAAAAGTTCGAATAAGAACAATTTAATAGAAAAACAAGCAACTTAAACAACAGAAAAAACATACAATTTGCACTGATAAGTTATAGAAATTGTTCAAAATGATCACCGTTTTTTCACAGGCATTTTATTCTTCGTCGAAAACTGAAGTCTACTCTAATCTATCCAGTAACTGCTGATTATTTCTAACGAATGTGCATTTATCCGTAATGTAATTCTACAATTCTGCTCGAAATGTAACTGACAAGAAATACACAAATTCTTTTAACATTCCCCAAAGAAAGAAGTCACATTTGTTGAGGTCTGGTGATCTTGGAGGGCAAACTTGTGGGAAATTATTTCGTCTTCCAATCCATTTATTTGGATACTGGTGGTTTAAAAAGTCTCTAACAATATAACTAAAATGAGGGGGTGCTCCATCATGCATAAACCAATGTTCCAGTCCGAGTTGTAGTAGCACCTCGTCAAGTAGATCCGGAAGAATATTTTGAAGAAATTCTAAATAAGTTTCCCCATTTAGTTGATTCAGTAAAATAACTGGACCAATTAAATACTGATCGATAACAACGATCCAAATATTTATTTTAAACTCGCGTTGGAAATGTCAAGGAGTTACTGAATGAGGGTTTACATCAGAATACTCATGATAGTTATGTAAATTTGTAATACATCTGCAGGTGAAACAAGTTTCATCAGTAAAGAGAATATTTTTTTGAAAATTAATGCCTTGATGTCAAATATACTCACAGAAAATCGTTTAACCAAATCATTCAGTAACAATTCTTGTACTTTTTGATATGGGTGTAGTAGATTACTTCTGATCACTTGGTGCATAGAAGTTTGTGATATACCAGTTTGCCGAGACATAATTCTAGTACTAATATGTGCTCATCTTTAATTGTATTCAAAATAAGTTCTTTGTCTTATGCCTTGATTGCAATAGCATGTTCTCGAGTGTTATTGAAAAACTTGCCTGTTTCTCGAGCCCGTCGTCAACATTGGAAAATGTTTCTCTATGGGAGATTACACGATTTGGAAATCTTCTCCGATATTCCTCAAAACTTCTTCTGTAGTTTCCTTCACAGAAACCTAACACTAATAATATGTCAACTTGTTCGCTAAATGAAAACTTCCCAGCCATTTTCAAAACACTCGGCAAACAATTACTAATATTAAAGGCCTTTTTTTCCTGATCGTCCAGTTTAACGTTTAAAGAACCCCGTACAAAACATATTGAAATTGAACACCGGTCAATTTTTATGAAACTTCGTATTTTGATAGTCCTTCCAACCCCCCAAAGATCAGTGTAATGAACTTGACATTACAGGTCAATTGGGTTACCGTGATATTAGTGGAACCTACAGACACCTATACCATAACTAGGCTTAAAGACTATTAATGGGCATCGAGTCCTACAACCTCCACCAACCCCCCAAAACCACACCCAAAAGTCAGGGCGATGCACTTGACAGATTATCGGTCAATAAAACTACCGAAATATTTTACTACTGCAGTCGAACCTACAGCCACCCAAACTGTAACTAGGCTTAAGACTACTATCTCCAAAACAATTAACCTCCCATCCCCCTCCCTCTCCACCAACTACCAAAGCCTGTCATGTGACTTTTCCCTGCTTACTGGTTGTGTAACTGTTTAATCGTGAATTCCATCTCACAGCCACCTAAACGATCACTACTTTATACTCTCTGACGCCGACCCACGACAATTGAACCACCCACCCCCAAACCCCCAAATCAGGTTGGACCAACCCCAATTCTTATCGAAGCCTGACATGACTTTTGCCTGCTTACGGCTTATGAAACCGTTCAATCTTGAATTCCATCCTACGCCCATCTTATTGTTTAATACCATTTAACCCACAAAAAGTACCAAAACCTGCCATAAGATTTTTTGCTGTTTGTGGGATGTGAAACCCTGGCTGTAGGTGCCTGCAGTAGTAACATATTTCGGTAGTTTTATTGACCGATAATCTGTCAAGTGCATCTTCCTGAGTTTTGGGGGTGATTTTGGAGGGTTGGTGTGGGTTATAGGGCTCGGTGCCCGGTCTTAAGCCTAGTTATGGTATAGGTGTCTTTTGGTTCGACTACAGTAGTGAAATATTAAGTAATCTGTCAAGTTCATTACCCTGATCTTTGGGGGTGGTTTTGGGGGTTGAAAGGGGTTGTAGGGCTTCGTGCCCATTGAGACTTTTGATCAGCATGACGAGGACTATCAAAATACAAAGTTTTATAAAAATTGACCGGTGTTCAATTTCCATGTTTTGTGCGGGGTTCTTTAGAGCCAACTTTTGAATTTTCGATGATTTTAAATAATAGCTTCAATATGTATTATTAGTTATTTGTGTTTTTGTTGAAAACGGCAAAGTTTTTTGAAAACTAACAAGAGTAAAAAAAGTTTTAGAATTAAATTCTCCATAAAATAAAGTAATAATGTTGTAAGTCCGCTAACGAGTTAAAAAATTCTGTCACATTTTAATGGTGCATCATTCTTTATCAACCCTTTAAAATGCTTCAATTGAACTCTACTTACTGTCCATTAATGCTCTTGGTACACTCACACCGTGTACCAAATTTCGTATTTTTAAGTTCAAGTGTAACTGAGATATTGATTTTTTCAAAACTTGAAACCCCCATTTTTAAGGTCTATAACTTCTCAATGGTGCAGCTTAGTATAAAGGTAAGTTTCTTTAAATCATCATATTTTGGGTTCCCCTACATGTCCCTGCTCTGTGTCGGTTCTTATGCGAAACACCCAGTATTATTAATATTACAAAAAAATTTATAACCTCCGTCATCCTATATTTTGCTTTTAGTGCACGTGTATGCAAGTTTTTTTTTCAAAATGCCCTAAAGAATCACCAATCTCAATATTTTCTATTACTAAGCAGACACCGCTGTTTTCTTACTACTAGATCGGTAGATACGTAATATGTCGACTAACCTCTTGAAACAAATGTGCCCTGGAAACTTCATCAAGCTTACTCTTGTCTATTACTTTAACTGCAACCTTTTCTCCAGTAAATACATGTCTAGCAAGTTTAACAACGGCAAAATGCCCACGTCCTAAGGTTTCTTCCAAGTCATACAGTCCTGCTATTTTCCCATCATATGGTCTAGATCGTAAACCCATTAAAGAATTTGCCTGCGTTAAATCTGTCCTTTTTATTTCTGGTCGAAAGTTGCGTTGCATGTTAACCTAAAAAGTTCAATATTTTATTCTAATTCGTTCATGTTAACTCATTAACACTCAAAATCGGATTTTGGAGGGGGTATCTTTGAACCACAGACACCATTGCACTCTGACGAGGAATCAAACGTATTAGGCTTTATGGTTTGTTATGGTACCCACCAAATTTGAAAAAAAAATTAGTCAGACCAGAAAAATGGACTTCCAATTTGAAAAATACCACAGTTCTTATTTTCCATTTTTATACCATGTTTTAAAGACTTTATCACTAAGATACGTGTCTAGAATCAATGGGAATGGTGCATAAAATCTCTCGACTTGAAGAATTCATGGTATGCATAACAATTTAATCACTTGATAAACCAAAATGGCGTATGAACCGAATGGTGGTGGCTTCATATTGTTACGGTTTCGGTTTTACTCAAAAAAGGTGGGTTTTCTCGGAGAATCTCAAAAGACTTAATAAGAAAATAATACGTTGGAATTTTCTCATAATTTTTTGCACCATTTTTCAGAATTTTGACTATGCCAATTTTGACCAGTCTCAGAAAAAAAATGAGAAAAAATTCCTGAACCTTCTGCTATCGATTCTGAATACTTTATTACTTTCAACACCATTATTACTCTCATCTCTCGCATACTGTCTAAATTATGGTCAAAAATGGTCAAAATTTGAAAATTCCAAAAAAACAACTTGGATAAAAATTGTGACCCGTCCTATTTTCGATTCTGAATATTTTCATTGCCATCACATTTACTCCTTTATCCTAACTTAGTCAAGTCTCGTTATTCTTAGTCCCAAATGGGTTAATTATGCAATAAACCAATATGTTCAAATGCATGGAGACAGACCAACTAGTCTTTTGACACCATCTGAAAGAGCATCCCCAAAAACATGAAGTCTAGCAAGTTTGATTCGATCCCTCGTCAGGGTGGAATGGTTGCCCGTGGTTCAAAGATAACCCCTCGAAAAACCAATTTTGAGTGGTAATGGGTTAACATGCAAGTAAAAAATTGTATACAATTCTAAAGTATGTTACAAAGGAAGAGAGCCATAAAAGTTCTTAAAATTGCATTTAAGTTAAAAAGATAGTTCATTTAAAAGAGGAATAGATTTAGGGTTTCTTATTTCTCGGCCTATTTTTTTTCTCGGGTCTCGAGAATTCTCGTCTAGGAATTCCCGGGAATTCTCGAATTCTCGATAAATTTCTGAAACTTAAAAAAGTCATAATTTTGGTATTGCAATGCGAAATATAAACATGCTATTATACTTAACAATCATGATTAACATTTATTATTTATTCAGTATTTTTATTAATTACTTATGTTTCTACTTCTACTAACAAAACTAAATTAAACTTTGAGTTTCTTCTTAAAAACCTTTAACCTGTTTTTTTATTAAACACTCAAAATACTTATTTCAATGTTTTTGAATCGTAGTTTTCTTCCAATAATAATTATTAATAATCATTAATCTTACAGTCTTTCAATTAAATAAATAGTAAATAAGGAATTTAACCGAAGAAATCTTTAAAAAAAAACAAGCTTTAATTTAAAGATACAGAAGCGTTCTTCCTATTAATTTATCACTTCAACATTAGGTATCTGCTTATAATAAAATTTCTACACAGACTTATAACTAGGTACAAGGTGATTCACTATATTTTGACCCCCCTTTAACTTTTTTGTTTTAAGAGTTATAAAAAAATGTGAAATACAAAAGTTGCACGATTTTTTATGAAATTTTCGAATATGATAGTAGAAAAACAAATGAAGTTCAAACAAAATGGCCGCGGATGTTAACTTTGTTAATTTAAATGGAACACCCTGTATATTTTTACACATTTGGATAGAACGTTCCCTGTCGAGCACAGTCATATATGGTTTGTTGGGTCCATCTCTAACAATAAGCGAGATAATATTAAAAAACGAAAAGAACGTTTTTTATTAAGAAAATAAAATATTTTGTAATTGTTGGACGTTTTTCGGGCATTTCTGCCTTTTTTCCAATTACGTAAGGATTTAGATTTATTTGCAATATATTTTGACATATCGAACATTGATATAGTCCAAAATGGGTATAAGTATTTTAACTAAATCGCACTAATTAGTCCGTGAGGGGCTTATTTACTCATGGACAATGTTATATGGTAGGCCGTGACAGTGACAGGTAATATTATGACAACATTGTTATTGTTTGACAGTTTGTATTATTATTTATTTAAAATGGGTTACACAGAAGTAGAAAATTTAAATATTATAGGAATTAAGATAGAGTAGTTAAGATATTCTCCATAGTTTATTTTAATTCCTAATAATATTTCAATTTTCTACTTCTGTGTAACCCATTTTAATTAAATACTAATACAAACTGTCAAACAATAACAATGTTATCATGACATTACTACCTGTCACTGTCACGACCTACCATATATAAGATTGTCCATGAGTAATTGGCCTCACACGGTCTAATTAGTGAGATTTACTTAAAATACCTATACGCATTTTGGACTATATCAATGTCCGATATGTCAAAATATATTACAACTAAATCTAAATCCTTACGTAATTGGAAAAAAGGCAGAAATGCCTGAAAGAGGTCTAACAATTACAAGATGTCTTATTTTCTTAATAAAAAAACATCATTTCGTTTTTTAATATTATCTCGCCTATTATTAGAGATGGACCCAACAAACCCTATATGACTATGCTCGACAAGGAACGTTCTATCCAAATATGTAAAAATATACAGGGTGTTCCATTTAAATTAACAAAGTTAACATCCGCGGCCATTTTGTTTGAACTTCATTTGTTTTTCTACTATCATTTTCGAAAACTTCATAAAAAATCGTGCAACTTTTGTATTTCACATTTTTTTATAACTCTTAAAACAAAAAAGTTAAAGGGGGGTCAAAATATAGTGAATCACCCTGTACATTAAAAAAAAAAAGAATCATCAAAGTAAACTAAAACCTTAAAAACTTAAAATAAATAAATCATGAGCTGGTAGAGAAACCACTTCAACCGCTCAGTTATTTGTCGAGAAACGAATTGAACGCATGAACGAAACGAACTCCAGTCAAGAACTTAAGACGCAAGTGATTTTTAAATTTCTCGATTTTTCTATTTCTCGACACTTTTTTCTCGTCTCGAGTAAGGCCAGATTTCCCGGGAATTCTCGCTTCGAGAAGTCTCGACCAGAAACCCTATATAGATTGTCTCATGTAAAACTAACTCTTATTTAAATGTTTCCCTGATCAATTTTTATATAAATCTCAAAATTCTGAGTAAAAATTAACCTTTATGCCAGACCAGAAATGCTGTTATATAATGGTCTTGATCAGTACAACAGATTGCCAAATGATATCAGGAATTGAGGGAATTTAAAAAGAAAATGTTAAGAGTTTGTTAAGTCGATTTGTTAATAATGTGTTTGTTTTCACACTGTTCTCGGGTATAATTTTTAACTAGTTTTTAATGTAGCTTATTTAGTTTAATTTTATTGCATTATAAAAAGTTATATGGAGTCAAAATTGTTGACAACAAACATTTTTGTATATTTGGATATTTCCTATTTCAAATAAAGATTATTATTAATATATTATTATTATTATTAGCCCCTGCTGTATGCATAATAGCACAATTACTTTATTACATCATCCCCAAAACTCAAGTTCCCTAAATTTTTCTCAATTTTCCTAAATTTTCAGGTTATAATTCAGAATTTTTTGGGCTCTGTGCATATTTGCATGCATATCTTTTTCAAGTGGCTATCATTTTGACCCAAATCATCCCATCGAAACGTTTTTTTTTTTTCAAAATGTGCAGAATTTTATCACACTTTTACCTGTTTCTTTCAGAATTCAAATTGTTTTAAAACTTTCCGAGATAAATGAGAAAAACATCAATTTTTTTCAAAAATGTATGTACTGGCAAAAAAATATTTAAAACCATTATTACCCTAAGTGAACAATATTCATCATATCATATCATCATCATATCATTTTTAATGAGTCGGTCAAGCTGAAACTAAAGTAATTTTGATACAGGTATCAATCAAATAACTATACGAGATATTTATTGCATTACAATATAAACTGATATAACAATTTTATTACAACAAAATACCAGTCTGACTAGTAATATTGTTGAGATTTGGTATACAGGGTGATTCACAAATAGTGACCAGAAATGAAACCTCGTATTTCTTGGTGAATTTTAAAGGGTCTTTCCTATAAAGTTTTTATCTAGGAATTTAAAAATTAGTAAGGGAAATAATTTGAAATTTGGCACGTATTTATGTAAACATTGTCCAAAATCTGAGGGCTTTTCATAAAATTTACATGCTCTAATGGCGGAGATACAGGGTATCGGTGGCATATTTTTCTCAATAAAATAGTACGACACTGCTTTACAGTAACAACCATGATATTTTCAGATTCGACTTTCAATTTTCTACAAATCACTACTGTCTTATGTTTTTTGAAAAAGCCTGATTTTCGAGTAAAACTTAAAAAACGAATTGAGAATTCAATCGATATTCAAATATAGTGCTTTTTAAAATTACATACTATGACATTCCGAGCAGTTAGAAGAAAGAATAAATTATGCTTTTCATCAGATTCAAACAACAATAAATTTCGAACAAATTACATTTTCGTTACTAAAAAGATGTCGGGCCTGTGTTCGTGGAAATTGAGGTATTTTTAAGCATTTACTCAAATAAAATCATTAAAATGATGACTAATGTTATTAATTATTTCTTTATTCGAATAAATAACCGAATAATTAGTGCTTGTCATGTCATAGTAAAAGTGTTTTCAGTTCGTTTTCTAAGATTTACTCGCAAAACATAAGACAGTAGTAATTTGTTGTAAATTAAAAATATTAAAATATTAAAATATTAAAATTTACTTAAGAAATTAAAACAATATCAAAATTACTAATTAATGAATGGATACTTTACCTATGTTTCAAAATTAGTTAATTCACTAATTCTTCTGTCTACCTAGGTCACCAGATAACATTTCAGATCTCTTTTTCATAAATGGTCACAAAACCAGGCCCTAAAAAAGCAAAGGAACAGAATTAGCTAAAAGTTTAACATGTCAAAAGAATAATTAAAACAGTTGATAAAATGAGGCATAGTGAAATATAAAATTTAATTTAAAACAAATCTGTTTATTTATAAACAGTGACACAACTGTCCTTAACAACTTAAGGACAGTATCTAACTCTATAATAGAGAACAACAGGAAATAACTCTTCGACTTTTTTCTCTTCTATTTAAATATCGTTCTTACTACTGCTTTTCAGAAAAGATAGGACTATAGTTCATGTTTTATGACGAAGAAACTTTATCAGAGATTTGGTAACGTTGCACTTGGCTGGCTTTGTTTGGCTGCCTTAGCTTGAAATATACATCATAGCTTTGTTTTGGTTCTCTATTTCTGAACAGTCCAGAATTATCGCAGAACTATAAACGCAATAGACAAAATTCTGAACGATTTGGAAGTAATCGGAGTTATTTGAAAACTAGAACGCATTGCAAAAATATACTCATAAAACCTAATAAAAAGATACTTTTCTTAAACGAAAAACAGGAAATGAAAAAATTATGAATGACAAACGGAACTTGGGAAAATGAGAATAACTATGCATGCGCCAAATAATACAGTTCTAAGCAATTCGTGTTAGGGAGCTAGAACTACTTCGAATGATGCAGAATGGTTCGGAATCGGATTTTATGGGAACCAAAATAAAGCTCATATGTCACACCTGCGAATTTCAAATGATACACTACTTCGAGAACCGCAGCGTTGCTGCTATCACGCATATGGAGGTTAAGTTAGTCAACAACAGCAGTTTGAAGGAGAATTATTATAAATTATGTATCTTACAAGTACCTAATCGATTTCTACAAGCTGTCATACGGTTCCTTAGATATCGGTTTCCTATTTATACAAGTTACTGTGGAAACTGTTCGTCAATTGTTGCACATTCTAAGTGGAAAGACCAAAAAAATGCATTCTCATAAGACTGTACTAAATCGTAAAAAATTATTTTATTAATATCCCGTCTCTTCGGTATCCAAACTAGTCATAATTTATTTTGAGGATTTTCTTCATATTAATAAGCTTATATTAATTTTTTCATGAATATTTGTTCGTCAATTCCAAATCAGATAAACCTCCTTAACAAGCAGTATTTATTAGCAGCAAGGAGAAAGCTCAAGCAGTGCAACCATACAGATCCCAGTGTTCCAATTAAAACTTCCCGTATGGAAAATATAGGAATTAAAAAAAACAAAAGAAAAGGAGGACAGATGATGGTGTAAGTTTTGGTGTCTTGGAAGCTACCCCTTAGACAGGGGCGTAAATTACCCTAAAATTTTAAATGGCACCCTATGTTGAATGACAACTCACTTTAAAACTTTTTCAATTCGGCTCACGACGACATACGACTTTTTAAATTTTGTTATGGATATGACAATAAAATCATCACTTAAAGAATAAGACAAAATATCAATGAATGAAAGAAGGTTATTTTATTAAATGTTCAAATTGGTTTTCCTCCGCTTCCATACATAAAATCTTCGCTCCACTTCCGAACGAATATTTCGAGGCATTTCGGGCGTTATCTGATGACATTCTTCAACAATTCGCCGATAAAGCTCCTCAAGTGAGTTCGGTCGTGTTGTATAAATTTTCGACTTTGTGTAGAAAAAAATTTAAGAGCATTAGATCTGGTGATCTGAAAGACCACTCAATTGAACTTCTGCGTCATCTCCATTGATTTGAAAAGTTCTGATCAAGAAAATCATGCACAGCTACGGCATAATGTGGTGAAGCACCATCCTGCTGCAAAGCCTAGCCATTTTCCAATACTTCTACAATCATCGGGTAGATATTCGTTTCCAGTAGATTTAGGTACATGTTTCCATCCAGATTTCCCTAAATCCAGAACGTACCAATGTGAAGTGTTTTTGTCGATCACGAAAAATCCATGCTGCCTGCCGTGCCCAGTCATTATTCTTGTAGAACAAATTAAATATTTCCACTTTTTCAGCAATTGTATAAACCATTTTCACGAATTGTAATTCAATCGACTTTATGATGATTTTACGGGATATTGTCTCGACAAGACGATACAATATTGTCTTGTTTAAAGTAAAACAGGTAAAAAAGTTGTACTGATAGAGTATGAAGTTTTTGTATTGAGAAATTGTTGAAAAATGTCATCAGATAACGGCCGAAATGCTTCAAAATGTTGGTTCGGAAGTGGAGCAAAGATGTTATTATTGTATGGAAGCTGGAAGCAGAGGGAGACCAATTTGAACCCTTAATAAAATAACATTTTTTCATTTATTGATATTTTCTCTTTTTCTTTAAGTGATGATTTTATTGTCATATCCAAATCAAAATTTAAAAAGTCATGTTGTCGTGAGCAGAATCATAAAAGCTTTAAAATGAGGTGTCACTCAACATAGGATGTCATTTAAAGTTTAAGGGTATGCATAGGGTAGCTTCCATCACGTGTCCCCCTTGAAAAGAAAATCGACGTTTCCCAGGCTTTCTTTTTTTTAATTCCGAAATTTTCCAGGTGGGAAGTTTTAACTGAAACGCCCTGTATATGCCCCACTTTGTTTCATAAGATTTTGTAACTGATAATATACATATTTGTACCAAGTTTAATTTGGACCTGATTAACTGTTTTGAAGTTATTTAAAAATTGTCTTTGGCCATGTACATTTAAAACCCTGTAACTTTTTCCAAGCATTTTCCGATCTATGTTCATAGATTGCATTTTGTCTAAAATGATATGTTCTATTTCAACTTGGTATCACGTTTTAGATACACTGTGGAGTAATCCTTTTTCATATTGTCTAAACTGATTTATTTGTGACATTTTCAAGTATGCCTAAGTTGATTATTTGTACCCTACCGAGAAACAGAAATTATTATTTGTTTCTTGTGGTAAAGAATTAGTTAATGGTTACGATTAATAAAAATAAATTTTATAATAAGAAATAAGGTGTTTCATAACTCTACTGACACAGAGCAGGTGTAGAGGATCTTAAAATATGACGATTTGTTTGTAAAAATATGAATTTATTGGAAGGCCAATAAGGGCCGGACTACGGGTAGGGCGCCCTTAAAATTATACCAATTTTTTTTATCAGTATGCCAATTATTAAATAGTTTTACCAGTATTATAGGAAATTTAATTTTAAAAAATTTTGCACTCTTACAAATTTTCGGAAAAAATAATGGTTTTTGAGAAAATCAGTATTTTGTGAAACAGCATCATTACTATCTAAATCGGAGAAAAAGTAAAGTTGATGTCATTAGTATTGGGGTTTTGTGATGGTAATTGTTTACGAAGTGTACAGAAGTACCAAAGATTTCCTGATCGCTTGATTCCACACCGGGAGACCTTTGCTAATGTTGAGAGGAGGGCTTGAGAGACTGGATCATTTCTAGTCAGCAACGAAGGAGGACGTATTAATCATGCAGTAAACGCACGAAACGAGGTACGAAGTATTGAAAATTACCCTCATATCAGCACTAAGCAATTATCTAGACATTCTAGACAATTTAATATACCATAATATGCCATGCTCCATCAAATTATAGGACGTAATCTGCTTCATTCTTATCATATCCAAAATATTCAACAATTGTTACCTCAAGATTTAGGCCAAAGACTAACTTTTTGTAATTTCATTTTGCGTCCGGGTATTAGGTTTCATGAGAAGATTCTTTTTATGGACGAGACCTGTTTCACTTGAAGAGGAATCACAAATTTGCATAATTTCTATGAATATTCGGATGAAAATCCTCATGCAATAATTCCTCGCTATTTTCAAAATGAATTTAAAATAAACGTGTATTGGTATTGTCAGATGTTATGTGGTTCATGCATGATGGTGCTCCACAGCATTTTAGTGCTAATGTACGAGACTTCTTGAACGAGCAGTCCCCGAATAGATGGATAGAACAAGGAAATTGTTGTCCAGAAAATTGGCCACCCAGATCACCAGATCTGAATAAAGGTGATAAAAAAATATGTTATTTTACACCGGTTGTATCTGAAGCAGATTTATGGAATCGTATAAGTAATAAATGCAACGCCATAAAAAATGATCCACATTTATAGCGTAGAGTAGACTTTAATTTTCGGCGCAGGGTAAATTTATGTATTAGAGAAAATGGTAGTCATTTCCAACAGTTATTGTGGTGCTATTTAACGATATCGGTAGTTCATGTGGTTAAAGTTAAATTTGTTAATGTTTTGTTTGTAAGGTTCCTCTTTTTTAGTATGTTAAAAACAAAATAAAGAATCTAATTTAATGAAATTATTTTTCTTGATACTTTTTTGTAAACGTTAAATATGATACATAAAATCACAGCCTACTAGTCGTAAAACTACATACTTTACTTTTGGTCCGATATAGGTAAATAGTAATGACGCTGTTTGACAAAATCCCGATTTTCTTAGAAACCATTATTTTTTAGCTCTGTGTCGGTAGAATTATGAAACCCCCTGTATAATCCTTAGGCACAAGTATCTATTCGGGCTATTTAAGTACGACTCAAACAATATTATTACTTTTTAAGGGTTCCATCAACAATAAATATGTTTGCAGCATTACATTGGGAAAGCATTGCTTTCATTCTCTTGGCAAATAATGCACTAAGGTAGCAACGCTGCTAGAAGCGAATACATCAATTCATTTTATAGAAACATATACCCCATGAGGTCACATTGTAATGGTGTAGTTCGAACTGAGTTGCTATTTTTGGTGGACTATTTATATGCATCAATTATTAAAATTGTCTACCCCTCTCATGGCGCCCTTATTGAATAAGTTTTATTTAACGTATAAACAACGAATACACGAGGAAAAATGTAACCCTTCATGTGGAGGTGTGTGTATTCGATACATATTAGAAGACAAATTATATATACAATGATGTTTTCCGACAAAGCTAGCATATGAGAGTACTGAAATGGCTCGAAGAAAGGAAAAGGCACAGAATACATTATAATTAAGAAATAATACGATATACAGGGTGTCCCGAAATTCATGCAACAAAATTTGGTCAGATTCTTAGGACAAATTTAGGGGCCCGTATTTTTTTTTGCCAAGTGACCCCCTCTTTCGGAGTTACATCCCCCTGAAGTCCCCCTAAGAATAATCTTTTTTTATATCTCAGAACCCTGTTGTACGAGAATAACTAAATTTGGTACACATGGGTTTTATGACATGTGGAATCTGATGGTGCAACGTTTTTTGGCGGGGAACCCCCTTAAGACAATTTTTCGTGGGCCCCCTTGTCTTTGGAGCCAAAAAAATTTAAATTTCTTAAAAATTATCAGTGCACTAGAAAGCCATTAAATTTAGAAACTTTTTGTCTCTTTATACTTTTTTCGTAAAAGGCAATGTTTTCGAGAAAAATGTCAAAATGTGATCGAATGCATATCGTGATTCGCCATTTTCTTCAAAAACATTGCGTTTTACGAAACAAATATCAAGAGACAAAAAAGTTTCTAAATTCAATGGCTTTCTAGCTAACTATTAATTTAAAAAAAAATCTAATTTGCGACCAAATTTTTCTGGTTCCAAAGACAAGAGGGCCCATGAAAAAGTATCTTAAGGGGGTTTCTCGCCAAAAAGCGTAGTACTGTGAGATTCTACATGTCATAAAACCCCTGTGTACCAAATTTAGTGATTCTCGTACATGGTTTTGATATAAAAAAAATTTCTTAGGGGCAGATTTCAGGGGGCTGTAACTCCGAAAGAGGAGGCCAGTTGGCAAAAAGAAAAAATACGGGTCGCCTAAATTTGTCTTAAGAATCTATGACCAAATTTTGTTGCATAAATTTCGGGACATCCTGTATATTTATTTGCTTTAACACTAGATGTTTTTTATGAAACAATAATGAAATAAAAAGATACAATAAAACTTAGTTAAAATATTTCGATTTGTTTAGACAAAACAGACTATAACAAATTCTAATTGCTACAAATTATTACCTAAAATAAAATTAGTGTTAAGTATATGAATAATACACCGTTATTTAAGTTTGCTTCAGAATAATTTTATAGGAATTTTGAGCTATTTTAGAAAACAGTTACAATAAACATCATAACCACATTTCTTGTTACAAAATTGGAATTTTCATACAAAATACACACAAACATTTGTGTAGAACCTATACTTCTATATAAAAAGAAGTAATTAAAAATTGTTTGTTGTTATTACAGCCGAATTCACAAAGTTTACTCCTCAAAATATATAAAATTCCGCGTCCTCATACTTTTGTTCATTGTTATGAACTCTCGATAACACAAAATTGATTCTAAAATTTAAGAAATAAGTACACTATACCGTGAAATGGTAATAAATACAACCAATATCAAAAATGTAACAATGAATTTTTTACATGATATAATGTGATGCGAACAGTATATACATACATACCTTATTTTAAGAAAAATTATTTGTTATTATGAATAACTCATGAAAACGAGGAATCCTGAAAGTACTGCAACCACTTAAATATTTAATACACTAAAGCACAATTAGTTACATGATTTTCGCAATAAACAATTATTCCCCTTTAATATAAAAATTTGTTTATTATATCCCAGAAATCCGAAAAGGAAAGCACATTAAGTAACATTTTGACATTTAAAAACTGTAACTAATGTCACTCAGGGTGTTCAGGTAACCGTCGAGCGTTGCAGCCAAAAGATGTCGGTAGAAATCTTCGAGCACTGGAAGTACGGGACTGCGTTCACAAGAAGCTTATATCATGCCAATTTTAGCATTATTCGTTCCAAATGTCGTCATTCTCGAGCGAGCGGACGAACTGAGCGGACGTGTTTATTGTGAAGTGAAGTGCATTGCAACGAGCAAGATCTACCTGCCTTTATTAAGGCTACCTGGAAAGTATCCTTTTCTTTCCTCTTAACCACCGACCTAATCCCCGGCTTAAGCATAGAGTCCGTCGGCATCTTTGTTACAGGTACCTGTGCCGGGGTTATGCCCAGGTAAGTTTTTACTTTATTTATCAGTTATTTGCATTATTTTTGAATACATTTCTTTAAAATTGCGACCCCCGACAAACAATATACCAGACAGACTAATACACCAAAAGACACGTACGCCCCCGTAAGGGGGCATCCCCACACGACTAAAACCTACACAC